GTTCTCTCGCCGTCGCATTCTCAAAATGTGTTGCGGCGCGAGCGTGGCGGTAACCGAAGGGTTAAGCGAGTCGAGGATGACGGCACGTTTCGGTTTGCCTCGGAGATGCATGTGTCCCGTCGAGGACCGTGGGCCCTCATTTGATACTTGCCATCTCATTCGCTTTGCTTTCTCTCATTTATTTCGCGTCGGTCTCTCGCTGCCGTGCGTGACGTGGTCCCTGCCGCCAAACTTTCAACGCTCCGACCGTGCGCTGTCTCAGATGGACTTTCTGTTGAACCGCCTCCGCCGCTCCTCAATGGGATGTTTGTCTCGGTGGCGCCTGCCGTAATGGATTGGAATTCGCCTCCCCCTTCCCTTCCCATCATCAACCCCTCACTCCCATTCCACCCCTAACTCCCGCTCACAATCCACAAGCACGGCGGCCCCGGCTTTAGGGGAAGGGGGGGGGGGTACTTGAATAACGCTCCGCAGAGGTTTGCGGACTGGAGAGAGAGCGGGTGAGCGAGAGAGGGTGGCACAATCGCGGCCCTGTGTCCCACAAACAGCCATCGCTATTCTGGAGCCTGGAAACGCGTCTAAAAATACGGCGATTGCCGAGGTGCAATGTGCAGTTTCGAATAGGGCCCTGTCCTGTTTTTTTTCTCTCCAGGATCTCGCCCTCTCGTCGAGCCAGCTGCAATCCTGGGAAATGTGTGTAACTCTTCCCGGAGCGTCAATAGTCCCAGTTTTTGTGATGATAATTAATCGCTCGGGACAGTCCATTTAAATGAAGTTCTCCTTTTCTGGTACTGTGAGATATTCTTCTTCTCCTTCCCATGTGTGCTGATACTTTGTTCCTTAGGGGTGGCGACCCGAGTTTGCGAGCACTGAATCGTGCAGCCTTCGGCCTACTGGTTTTATTGACAGAAAGATGAGTGTCTGTTTAGTTTCCGATTTAGGAATTTGATAAGCATTAGAGGCCGGACTTTCCTTCAAAAAGCACATTCGTCAACTCAATATCGGTTCTTAAGTTTGTGAAGCATCGATCGAAGAGTGAGTTTAACAATCTTTGCCTTTTTTATATTCAACATGTAATGGGTTCATGTAACCCCAAACTCATTTCAAATTGAAAATTCATTTCTTTAGAACTGCTTTTTTGTGTTTAGTTTGTTGTCCTTTCCCCGCACCTCTGATTAGCACGCTTGACTACGTACAGTGCCAAAGAAGTTCTACGTACACACATCCAACCCCTCCAGCCACTGGAGGCCCCGCTATGTTCACAACAGTATAACGACAACAACAAAAATTGTTATTTCTTCAACCGAAACCAAAAAAATCACCAGGCTGCATTGAAGCGGGGCGAGTCCCCTACGCTTCCTGCAGTTTCATCTTGCCATGAGCTCAAAGCAAAGCCCTGAGTAGAGATAGCAACATGTGCTTTTGGTCAAACCCTTATAACTTAAACTGGGTCACAAAAAATAAAACCACAGCCCGCAGGGGGAGCGTTCCGTTTGTGTTTTTTTGTTCTGATGTGGCCACTCCAGATGCCGTTTCCTCCAGGAGACTTTATTTTTTCCCAACGGTTTGAAGAACGCTCTCTTCAAGTGATTCACAGGCCATGCCGTCTCGTTTCCACGGGAACGCGGGACCGGCTTTTGCCAAGATTATTCCGGCGCCCAGCGGGGTGCCAGACGGCCCGCGATGCTAACCAGAAGTTCGCGATGCTTAAGCCAGCACTGGTCGAGGGACGTTTTGCGTTTCAGCAACCCGCTTGTCTTGCTCGTGTGCGATCGCTCAACTAGAGGGAGCTCTAAAAGTCCCCTCTAGAGAGAGGGTGTTTGGCCTACTCTTCCACGCTAGACCACTAGTCTTGGAAGAAGAGGTGGAAGTACCCACACTTTCCTCGACCGCATGCGTGCGACTAACCTGCCGATCGACTTTAAATGCGGTTGTATCCCTTTGTACCGTTGGGTGGATTAAGAAAGTTGTGCCATGTTGTCAGCTGGACTGCAAGTGCAGGATGTTTGCTACACAGTGGCAGCATGCTTGCTCACATTTGTTTCATCGGGTTGTGTGCACGTACGTTTGAACTTTTTTCGCGCTGTACGTCGCCAACCGTGCTAATCGGAGGGGCAGGTGAAGGACAACACCATTGTAAACATCTGAGAAGACGCAGCAGATTCTCGTGAAATATATTTCTTGTTTCCCTGCCCCCACATTCTGGTATTGTTTACTGTGGCAGTTAACGTTTTGTTTTCAACAAAACAAGCTTTGTTAAGTATCGTTTTAGCGAGCCGTGTATTTATTTTTTCAGGGCGTGTTGCCAAATAGGTTACATTAAGAGCCCGATTCACTTGTGAGATCGTGTTCATTTCGGTTAAAATTTGGCAAAAACATGCAAATTGCTCCATAACGGAACAGTGTTGCCTGTCCATGAAATATTTGTTTATTAAGCACAGTTCCTACACAAGAGCAAGTGGACGTGAATTCCCACTCAAAGGAGTATTGGTGCGATGGGTATTCTAGAATTGATAGCCCTGAGCCAGCGGCGGAAATTGCACATTTCTATGGCAGGGGCGAGTCTCTCCGTTGAACAACCCTTGCCGTTGACTTCGCCAAAATTGATACTCGTTGGAAGGCCGTTGAAGAAATAAGCAACAACAAAAAATTCACAATCCTTGGCATCAGGTTCAATCTGCCACATGGCCTTGCGTGAGCCTTAATAGACCACTAAAACGTGCAACCCCCGGCAGAGCCGATCATCGTTATTACCATACCGTTATTACCATATCTCTATTATCATATGGTAATTTGTGCATGTGCTTAGGGGTAGTCACGGTGAAGGAGGGCCTGCTGAGTCGTACGGCAATGCAATGTGTTAGCGGTTGTTGGCACGTCCTCGTGGGAGCGTGCCGCAAAGGACCTTTGGCGCGGCTGCGATTAAATGCGAACATCTCCAATTAGAGCAAAAAGCAATTTTCGGCCGTCTTTCTCGCGGTATCGGCGGCACGACATGGGGGCATCGCAGTATTCCGGTCCGGGTCCCGTTATTTAGTTTTTTTCTGTTCCCAGCCCTTGGTCTAGAGCAAGACTCGTAAGCCAGACCATGTGCCGTGCTGTGGGCGGGGGTGTGGAGGTGTATTTTGGTATGTTTGCACAGACGGGGGGGGGGGGGGGGGGGCTATCGGATGCGGCAGTGGGCTATCTTTGCTCCGTCGTATAGGCCAGGTCTGGTTAATTTCAAGGGCACGTGCCAAATGCTGGCGCGTGCCCCATCATTTCGTCGGGCGGATGGTGCCATTGTTTGACTGAACGAGTCTCTTGGGGGCTTCATAACTACATTCTCAAAAGAACGTAAAAAAATGCCACGGATGGCACGCAGACTCAGAGCTGGTTGAACGCTCCCTCGTTGAGGATGCTTCTTTGAACCGGGAACAATATCGTTTCTCCGTTAACCACTTCCCCTCCCCTACCCCCCAATCCCCCCAATCGGCTTTCTGCAATCGACTGGATTCGTCGTCCGAACGTGAACGAGTTTGACCGCTGCGACGCGATTTGGGTGAATGCCGTCGTCTGAAATAACTGCAGAGGCTGGGGGGGGGGGGGGGGGGGGGGCGCTTCCTTTGGAGAGAGGCACACTGTCTGTCATAGTCAGAGGAGAAGAGGATGGCTTCGAGTGTGGTGGGGTAAATTGTAGGTATTCCCACCTCTTCCAAACGCGTCTGGTCAGTATGGAGGAGCTCCCTCGACTGGAGGTGCTTCCACCAGCAGTGGTGTTAGCAAGCAATTGCAGGGCTGTGCCTTCATAGTTTTTTTCGATTTAAAGCTTTTGTGACTGCAGGGATTCATCTTCTTGGTTCTTTCGGTAAAGTCACGTAGAAGGGAAGTAATAAAATAATAAAAATAAAACATAATAAAATAATTCTCACGACGTTTCGGCCACAACGCAAGCAGCCGTCCTCAGGTGAAGAAACACGGCCCGCGCAGCGGCGGTGTGACGTCACCGTCCGCTCAGCCAATGAGCGCATACGTCACCTCCGCGAACCGACAGCTGGCAGTGTGAGGTACGGCGCCTCCGATTGGCCGATTGTTGACACGTGCCCACCTAGCGAGGCAGCTGCACGGGCCGTTAGCTCCCATTGCGATGTGCTCTGGGCTCACAGGCCGTTCAATAGAAAAGCGCCCAGCCCATCAAACGCAACCTCCGGTCTGACGCGGAACCGGTCGGTGGAACTCCCCCACACAGGCAGGGATCGATCGTCCTAAGTAAACGCGCCGTAGGCCACGTTTATGCGCGCACGACTACTCCGTCCCCGGGAGGGGGGCTTGTTTGATGTAACGATTATTGATTGGATATTGGTTATTGGTCGTAACGGTGCCTCTGACTAAACCACCTGTAATACGCATGTCACATCTCGGAAGCTAAGCAGGGTCGGGTCGCATGCACGGCCGCTACTCGCAAGACGCGTCGCAGGCTGCCGCGTGGCTGCGTTGTGGGCAGCTCGACGCAGGCTAAATGAGTTGACTGTACTTCTATGGCCCCGCTTCCCTTGCCCCCACGTTTACGCTCCCCGCCTTCACCAACCTGCACTGATTTGCTGTGACTGCTTTACGCAGTGATTTATCCAGCAGTGGTTTTACAAAGAGCTGTACACGTGCATGAATTCCATAGGACACTAATTCACATTCACTCTCTCCAGTACTTTGTTCATCCTGCAGCCGATCCATCCTCTCTGGGGGGGGTCCATAAAATGAGCACCACTTTGTGGACAAGTCAACGGCTGTTGTCCGGAAGATAGAATCGCGCCCGCCGTGAGAACGTGGAATTTCCCGCCATTGCCTCGGGGGACTGTGAACAGGAGATGAGCGATCATTTGAGCGGTGCGGGGGGGGGACAATAGCTCCGTTCGTTTTGCTTTGTCGTTGAAATTTCGACTTGTGAGGTTTTTTTTGTGGAACTCGCCCGCTCGTTGACCGGCTTGAACATTCTCCTTTTTCCTCCTCCCCTCCCCAAACAGCCCAAGGCAGAGGGCATTGCCCTTCTCACCACCGTCTACAAGTACCTCAACCTCGTCGAGAGCGATTACTTCGGACTGGAGTTGGAGCCCTACCCCAAGTGCGGATTCACGGTTCGTACCGAGCCGGGACGTTTTCGCCTTTCGCGTATCGCGTCCATCGAGCAGGTCGAGGACTCGGTGACACCCCAGGGTTGAGTCTCATTTGCTTTTATATTCCCAATCGAGTGATTTTCAGGTAATTTTTCGAACGCGGCAAATTTTCTCCCTCGGCGCCACGTCTGGACCGTGCCGAAGAGCAGAACCGATTACGTCGGGGGATCTTTTATCGTCTACCGTGATGAAGAGGGCGCTTGTTTATTGTGGTTCTTACACACTGCAGTGTTAATCAGGGCGGTCGCAGGATTGGAACGGCGAACCCCCGCATCGCTCTCCTGTTCGGGCGCTGGGCCGTGCCACTGATGATGATGATGATGACGACTGACGAATACAGGAGGAGGAAGTTGCGATAGTTTGACCGGGCCTCTGAAACACCAGAGGGATTTCCCAGCCCCATCCTGTGGCTGAACTTCTTTCGCACCGTACGTAGCCAACCGCGCACCAATCGGAGGCGCAGTGTGGAGGGGATGAGCAAGAGAGACGTCTGTCGGCCGAGGAGCAGCTGGGCGACAAATAAAGCGGCCGGGATGGGGAGATGAGGGGAAAACGTTGTGCAGATGACTAAAGATGACCAAAAACCGCGAGACATTGAGAGGGTTGATTGCCAAAGCATCGCAAAGTCTCTCACAACCCCCACGGTTAAGAGACCGATGGTGCGGTTGAACATCGTCGTCGTCATCATCAACATCATCACTGTTTCATCCACTGCTTGATGGAGGCCTCCCCAAGTCGTTGCCACCTCTCAATCCTGCGATGTATCAATCCAACTGGCACCTGTGGAACCAGCTGATCTCATCATCGCCTATCTCCTCCGAGGAAGTCCTCTCCACATGGGTTCCACTCCCGACGATGATGACGACGATGCTGCTGCTTATTGTTACTTTTTTAAAGCCCCCTTTCAAGGAACGATAGTAGTTTCAGCTCCAAAGGCTTTTATCCGTCGATTTAAAAAGTGTCATCTTGTCAACGTCACCGTGCGGTCCTCGTGAGCCTTGATGCACAGGTGGACATTCCACACGACAAAAGTGGTGCCTTCCTCAGTTGAAAAACAGGTCTTAGAGTCGCGGCTCTAAGACCTGTTCTTCACCTGAGGACGGCTGCTTGCTTTGTGGCCGAAACGTCGTGAGAATTATTTTACAATGTTTTATTTTTATTATTTTATTATTTCCCTTCTACGTGACTTTACCGAAAGAACCAAGAAGATGAATCCCTGCAGTCACGAAAGCCTTAAATCGAAATTTAAGAGTGGTGCCTGTAAGACGACCAATGTTGACTCCCACAAAATGATTAACGTTTTATTTCCCCATCCCCCCCCTGAGGCTGAAGAAGGAATCATAAAAGAAACAAAACAATTACGGAGACACTCTACGTCGAAATTCATTTAGCCGCAGCGGGATGCCCAATTTCAAGTTGCCTGTTTATGCAGACCACCCTTTGGCAAAACGGGTTTGGCGGTAGAAACCCACGAGCTTGATGGGATCACCCTGAATGCACCCGACGATGTGTGACGTCGTGCTCGCGGTCCCCTGTTGTGCCCCCCCCCTTCCCCCTCCCTTGTCTCTCCAGGTTTGGCTCGATTCCCAGAAGCCCATCGCCAAGCAAGTAAAGAGTAAGTAGACGGCCGTGGCATCACCTCCCTCCCCCCCCGAGCACCGCAGTCCGGAAAACGCAACGCTCCGTGGGTGTAGCTATTGGTCAGGTGGGGGGCCCACAGGCCAAGTGGGGGGCCCACTGGTCAGGTGGGGGGCCCACAGGTCAGAGGGGTCAAGAGTCGCCAGATATGTCAAGAAGGGGCCAATTGGCTAGAGGGGGGTGAGGGGCCCATTTAATTTCTTGCGGCAGGGCCCACACCAACCGCGTTAGGCCGCTGACATCCGCTCTGAGTGAGTGGCACTGAGCAGCCCTTGTAAACGATGCGTTGATCCATTGATTGAAATTGTTTCTTTGCGCTCACGGTGCACGCGTGAGGTCGCCGTGTCGGTGAGAATCGTGGTGCGTTGATTGACGTACGACAGGTGGTGGATTTCACGTGTGCTTTGTTCACGATCGTGAAATACCTTGTTAAAGGCCCTGTGCTCGTGCTCGTCAATGTTATTGTTTTATATCGCTCGTTTTTGTTGCTGATGCTGTGCTCGCGCAGCCCCCCCCAACGGATCTCCCGTGCCGTGCAAAATTGCCCGGGCTAATTGTTAAACGGGACCAATCGTGTAACAAATTCAATCGACTCGAATTCATAATTTGAGCCGGAACAGTCCAGAATGCGTTTCTAGGAATTAGTTTTTGACGTGGCACATCCATCTCGCTCGATTTTTGCTCTCACGATACTGCAGTGATTTTTTTTTTTCATAAACCCGCTTGCAAGATATTTTGGAATGCAGGGTCACTATTATATAATTGTCAAGGATGGGCGTTACCTTGTGATCAATTGGTCGTGCCTGTCGCCGGTAATTCCTACTCCAAGGCAGCCTGGCAGCATTCCGGAAACTATCGACAGGGAATCTGAGCCATAATAGAGTTAGTTTGGCTTCGATCGCGTTAATATAAATGTGTCGTTAAACCCGCCACCACCCGACACAGCCAATTAGTATGCATTTGTAAATGTTGTGGATTTACTCTCCAACACACCGGTGTGCTGTACTAGTAGCGAATTGGCCACGTTCTGTTTACGTGACAAACCTCACGAATTGGTTGTCGGGTCGTGGCGGGTTTAAGGACACGTTTATATATTTACGCGATCTAACCCAAAACACCTCTATTATGGATAATATTGGTCCCGAAAGCCAACGTGTTAAATAATCTCCGCCATGAGTCAAATAATAATTTTGTAAGTGTATGATGCAATGAATGTGTTGAGCCAGAGAATCGATTTAAGTTGCGTGAAGTTTGTTAAACACGTGGCGCATTTCCGACACAAATCTGCAACCAGATCGCATGAATACTCGTCAACTGTAAACATTCTATACAAATTTTTATCCTTTGTGTCTTTTGGTAAAGCCACGTAGATAGAAAAAGAATGAAATTATCACGACGTTTCCATCGCAACGCAAAAATATAGCGAGAGCTGCCTGGCTACATTTTTTCACCTGATGATGATTGCTTGTGTTGCGATCGAAACGTCGTGATAATTTTATTATTTTTCTATCTATGTGGCTTTGCCAAAAGACCCAAAGAATATAAATTCCTGCAGTCACGAAAGCTTTAAGTTAAGATTCTATACAATGTCATGCTCGTAGTACATTGCAATGCTATGTTAATTAGCGCCATGCATGCTGACGTGCCTGTACGTGCGTGCGTCCGTGTATTCTCTTCCAGAGCCAAAAAACGTCGTTTTCAAACTCGGGGTGAAGTTCTTTCCTGAAGACTCGAGCCAGCTGCAAGAGGAAATCACAAGGCAAGGACCAGAACACTCAGAGACAAAGATCCCGTGTAGACTTTTTTTTGTTTGTTGCGGTTTCACCCGATTCAAGAGCCGAATGGCTCACAGGGCTATACCTAATAAATGAACTTGAACTTGACTTGGGGAGCAAGGACTATCTAGCGAGTAGCACCTAATAAAGGCCGCCACTGCACACGAGGGTTGCGGGTGGCCATCACCACACCCGGCTTGTATTTGTCTCTCCAGCGGCGATGTTTAAAGTCACCGGCGAAGTCACCCTCCGCCCTCTTTGCTACGAAGCCCCCTGTCCGACTCGTGACCACGAGCGGGCTTCATCTTGCCGTATTTCTCCGGATAGATGGGACGTACTTTTGTTTTTGTAGCAGTTTTGTAACAAAATACAAACATTGGGGGTTTGAGGGGTGCGTATTACAATCCGCTTAAAACCTGGCCACCTGGACACGCAAGTTGGGGTTACGCACATGACGTGGGCTCCTGTGTGCAGTCACTGCTGGGGCAGGCTGAGAACGATTGGCACGGTTGGCTACGTATGGTGCGAAAGAAGTTCAACGTATGTGCACACGTACAAGCTCGACTTCACTCGAGGAGCCGGTTTAATCGCGGGCGGCCGAAACCCAAACTTTAAACCCAGCTGTGACCTCTGAGCCAACTGGTGGCCGCCTAAGTTTTTGTGTTTTTTGGTTTGCGCTCCAACATGCCTCTCGCCCCGCTGCCCTAATTCTCTTCCGTGTCCGTGCTACACGCCAATCGAGCATTATTCGTGTGATTTCTCCCATCTCTTGTGCCGACCTCCACCTCCCCCTCCCCCCTCCCCTCGCCGTCTCGTTCATTCATTCGTCCGTTGTCCGACTGGTGTAGGGGCCCCCCTGCTCTGTGTGTGCAGGTGCCGGCCTGTGGAGATCTTCACACACAAACTGTTGCCTTGGTCCTCGGCAGTTTTTAATTTGCCGCCCGTTATCCCCGTCGAGCGCAGCAGCGTGACCTTTGAAACGCTCCTTTTTTGCAGTTTATTGACTGAGCTAATGCATTCTCCTGCAGATGAACCAAAGGGCATTTACGCACCTGTGTGTGTGTGTGTGTACTGGGTACGTGCGAGTGTGTGTGTATGTGGAGTTCGATTCCCGCTCACGGCCAACACCAGTGACGATAATCTGAATCGGTCCTGGACCTCCCCTAGGTCGACTCAGCCTTAAATGAGTACCTGGTGAGGTGTGTAAAAACATCGCCACCGGGGAGACAAAGGCGGTCAGGCGTGGTGCTGGCCATCCACCCCATCATGTACTGTGCTGGCATTCATAGGTGCTCGCTAACAGCACTTGCCCTAACAGTCTGTTAAGGCTATGTGGAGGAGCTTTGTCTTTGTGTGTGGAGTTCGATTCTTGATCACGGCCAACACCAGTGACGATTATCTGAACCGGTCCTGGGTCCCTAGGTCGACTCAGTCTCAAATGAGTACCTGGTGCGATTTGTAAACATCGCCACTACGGAGACAAAGGCGGCCGGGCGTGGTGTTGCCCACCTACCCCTTCGTGTGCTGTGGCGGCCTTCATAACAGCACTTGCCCCAACAGTCTCTTAAGGGCTATACGGGGATATTTGTCTTTGCATGTACTGTATGTGTGTGTGTGTGGAGCTATATGTGTAGGTATACAGAATACGTGCATGTATGTATATGCCTATGCATATTCCAGTGTCTGTATGTAGGTTGCACGCACGTATGTTTGTGCTTCGACACTCCTCGTGGCCTCGAGGCGCACCTAGCCTGGTACGAGCACCAGCATTCCGTTAATCGGGGATGTTGTTACCGTACGGCGCGACTACATTTGAAGTGCTGTAATCATCGGTTGGTCGCTTGACCCTGGCCGGAGCGTCACGTTCCCTGACGAGACGATGCCGGGGGAGCCAGCAGCTGTCCCCGAAGCGCCGAGCCGAGCCCGGTGCACGACCGCGAGTTGTTTGACGTCGGCCTCGACAGCGCACGTCAAACGCGGTCTTCTCCGTCGCGGCAGAAGTGTAAAAAAACAATATTAAAATAAAAATAATAAAATGCCGCGGGAGCTCTGACGGCACAAATCTGCTCACGCTGGGAGAAATAAATTAAATCCTGCCCGGCACAGACTTAATGCGGCGGGCAGTCGGGCCTAATTTGTTGAGTTGCCGAGCGACTGACAAAGGACAAATTTGTCACCGTGGCCTTTTCAAAACTCGGGGAGAGGACCCCGGGGTAAGGTCGCGCATTTCCGAAGCAGAAATGGAACCGATGCAATTTTCACAACCGAGGCCCGAGTGAAAGTGCACACACTTCTACGCAAGCAGTCGGGATCCGCTGGAGATTTTAGTCACTCGGGGTTTCTATCGCGAGACGTCACGCCGCCAGCGCCGCCGAGGATTTATCTTGGCCCAAGTTTATCGCCGCGATGCTGTGGTCTTAAGCTTCCAAAATTGGATTCCGATGCCACTCCTTTTTAATTTCACTGCAAAACGCAATGTCTCAATGAAGAATCACCACGCTTGCGTTCTGATGGAATCCGGCGCTGACAAATCCACTCACTTCCGCCGAGTGGTAATCTGCGGAAACACCCCGGGGGGGAGGGATGCGAACGCTCGGCAACGGAGCTGTCTGAGCGATGAGAATTCACCCGGGACGATGTTTATCGGGAACGCGTGCGTCGGCCCAAGAGAAACGCAACGCTTCATTTAAAAGGGCTGTCGCCCGAAACGTTAAACCCCGCGGCGATCTTAGACGTTCGTTGCGGTGATTTGGGCATCGCAAACGTTCGTCGTCGTAGTTTTGTTCGCATTTTTGTTAAGCGGTTCGGCCCGCTTTTTTATTCATGGCGATGGCGGTTTTCATTTGAGCACGGCGCAGCGGCAACGTTTTTTTGTTGTTTTCGAAACGGGACGTTCAGCCACGGGTGATGTTTCCACGCGGTCAGGGGCCGTACCATTTCTATTATCTTACGAGCTCCAAAGCATGAGCACATTTTCTTTGCAGCAGCGGCTCTCAGAGTGCGGTTCCCCCAGACCACCGGTGGTCTGCGACGCTCCGCCACGTGGTCCGCCGGGTGATGCGAACACAGCTTGATCCGGAAATAATGACGACGTATATAGACACGTAGAAGGGAAATAATAAAATAATAAAAATTAAACATAATAAAATTACTTCCCTTCTACCTGACTTTACCGAAAGAACCAAGAAGATGAATCCCTGCAGTCACGAACGCTTTAAATCTAAATTTAACGTATATAGACCTTTTTTTCAGACAATAATTCATATTTAACTCGTGATATTTAATTAAAAAATTAACTTAGGTAAACTGCCCTGATGTAACTACCCTACCCCTAAGATCTAAATGCTCCTCCCTCCCCCCTGCCTAAAAACAAGCCTTACAGCTGCGTTTACTTTTTTTTTTAATTACGCTTCGATAATATGAATAATAATGTTATATTCGTGGTATTTTGAGAGAGAGGTAAATGCGTTTTGTCAGCAACGGTGGAGGTCTGGGCGGTTCGTGGAAATGTTTGAGTTGGCCGCGTGGTGTGCGGGCCCAAACAGCGTTTGAGAAGCACCGCTCTGCAGCGTCTTAATATGCGTACACGTTTTGATGCTTACGTATAAACAATTTGTCTTGCTTCGTATTTTGATACCGGAGGAACAGCACCGCGGTGAGAGAGCCCTTGCGGTTGAGGCTAACACGGCGGTCTGTGCGGTGCGTCCCCCCTACCTCCACCGCGTGTGTGTGTGTGTGCGCGTGTGTGTGTGCGCGTGTGTGTGTGCGTTGTGGGGAGCGGTAGTGTAGCGGTTAGCGCGCTGCGCTATGAACCTGGCGACCCGGGTTCGATTCCCGCTCACGGCTAACACCAGTGACGATTATCTGAACCGGTCCTGGGCCTCCCCTAGGTCGACTCAGCCTTAAATGAGTACCTGGTGCGGTGTGTAAACATCGCCACTAGGGAGACAAAGGCGGTCGGGCGTGGTGCTGGCCACCCAACCCCCTCGTGTACCGTTCCGGCCTTCATAGGTGCTCGCTAACAGCACTTGCCCCTACAGTCTGTTCAGGCTATACGGGGGATCTTTATCTTTGTGTGTGTGCGTGTGCGTGCGTGTGTGTGTGCGTGCGTGTGTGCGTGCGTGCGTGTGTGTGCGTGTGTGTGTGTGTGTGCGTGCGTGTGTGTGTGCGTGCGTGCGTGCGTGTGTGTGTGCGTGCGTGTGTGCGTGTGTGTGTGTGTGTGCGTGCGTGTGTGTGTGTGTGTGCGTGTGTGTGTGTGTGCGTGCGTGTGTGTGTGTGTGTGCGTGTGTGTGTGTGTGTGCGCGCGTGTGTGTGTGTGTGCGCGTGTGTGTGTGTGCGTGCGTGTGTGCGTGCGTGTGTGCGTGTGTGTGTGTGTGCGTGTGTGTGTGCGTGTGTGTGTGTGTGTGCGTGCGTCTGCGTGCGCGTGTTGCACAGGTACCAGTTCGCGCTGCAGGTCAGACAGGACCTCCTCGCGGGTCGCCTGGTGGCCAGCGAGATGTCCTCCTCACTCATGGCCGCGTGCCTCCTCCAGGGTGAGTGAAGTGGAGTCGCTCAGGGTCGGTCGGTGAGTGTGTGAGCGATTCAGGGTGAGTGAGTGAGTGGCTCGGAGTGGGTGAGTGAAGAGTGATTCGGAGTGAGTGAGTGAGTTATTCGTGACCTTAAAGTCATTCGCATTTGACAGTAACACCGTACCCACTCTCGTGTTCACACTCAAACGCAGGCTCCCGATCGTTTACTTCCACCAGGCCGCCTGAAGCTCGCACGTAAACAAAAGTCACTCTCGCGCTCCCCGCATCGCTCGCACACTAACACGTGAGGCCTGCGTGCAGTCCCGTTGGAGCGAAACGCCTTTTGCCTTTTATCCGTGCTGGTGCGGGGGAAGAAATCGACAGATCCTATTATTCGCGACTATTTGTTGAATCGCTGCTGTTAACCTCACAACATCGGAGAGGTCAGCAACGAGAGAAAGGGGGCCCATTCCGTCCATCAAGCTCGTTCTGTCAGTAAACTACGGACAAGCTGTGAAGCAGCCACCTACCGTACCAGCGCCAACAATTGCCCAAGCTCTGCGATCCGCCAGTAGTAGGGCGATGGTTGGGCAGACGTGGTGGCGCAGTGGTTAACTCGGTGATCCAGTCACGGCTAACAATAGTGGTGAGTGATATGTGAATGATTCCAGTACAACCCCACCCTTCACCAAGCCGAAAACGGTGTGGTGGTGGGGGGGGGAAGCCCTAATCCTGCAGTGGGTTAGGAAACGTAGCAATCATCACTCCCTGCTGCTGCAAAAAAAAAACCTAACAGGACCCTCCTGCCGGGCAAACAGGCGGAAGAATTGCAATATTTCACGATGGCCCGAGAAACTTTATTGGGGGTTGACGATGTGCCCCGTGGCTCCGGAAAAAGTGTGGACCAATGAGCTCGAAGGGAGGGATGCGGTCGGGAGGGGGGCAGAGGGAGTTGAGTCGTTTCTTGTTACGTGGGTGGAGGGAGGAGCGGTAGTGCAATCCTGGTTCGATTCCTGCTCACGGCCGACACCAGTGACGATTATTTGAAGCGGTACTGGGCTCTCTCCTAGGTCGACTCGGCCTAAAATGTGTACCTGGTGCGGTGTGTAAACATCGCAACTGGGGAGACAATGTTGGTCGGGCGTGGTAATAGCCACCTACCCCCTCGTGTGTCGTGCCGGCCTTCATAGGTGCTCGCTAACAGCACTTGCCCGAACAGCGCGTGTTAAAGGCTATGCAGGGGAATCTTTGGAGGGAGAAAGTCGCCTCTGTCTATTCGTTGGGTCTTTCGGTAAAGTCACGTAGATAGGTTCAAAGAAAAAAAAAAAAACTACGACGTTTCGATCGCAACACAAAGCGGTTATTTTGTTCTTTTCTTTGAACCTATCTACGTGACTTTACCGAAAGACCCAAAGAATATGAATTCCTGCAGTCACGAAAGCTTTTCACCTCTCGTCTATTTATCATTTTCGTGGTGTGCCCCCCTTCCCGACCCCGCTGCCCGTTACAGCCGACGTGAGTGACTATGAGGAGCAGCGGTCGAGTCAGCAGCTGCGGGAGGTGCAGTACCTGCCCAACCAGGAAGTCCTCGCCAACCGCATCCTGGACTACCACCGGCAGTTCGCGTGCGTTCCGCGGTTTTCCTTTCGCTCCTCGCGTCGCGCCGCATTACGTGCTCGCGATCGCAGCTGCGTCACGGCTTGGTCGCCACTTGCCCAAGCACAACGTTCCTGTGTTTTTTTTGTTAATTAGTTTTATTGATCTTCTTGGTTCTTTCGGTAAAGTCACGTAGAATTGAAATAATAATTGAAATAATAATTCCACGTGACTTTACCGAAAGAACCAACAAGATGAATCCCTGCAGTCACGAAAGCTTTAAATCGAAATTTAGTTTTATTGAGCCAACTACGGGGGGGGGGGGGGGGGGTGTACAACTTCTGCGACAGGTGAGTGGTGCATAGCGGGATAGGCAGGCTCGGACAGACGGCCAACGCAGACGTAGCGTTATGTGGTACTTGCGTCAGAACCCTTTTCTTCGGGGAAGGAAGGGGGGAAGAGGGGGGGTGGAGGTGGGGGGGGGGCAGTCAGTCACATTTCAAGTTCAGTCAAGTAAACTCACGGTCTCTGGAGTGGCATTCACGAGAGGGCCCCAGATCTGGGTCAACTCCCCTTCCCTATTCCTCAGTTTCAGACTCAGGTGTTCTAAAGCTGCTCGGGCGATTAGGTTGTTATGCCAGAGGGTGAATGGGCAGGGGGGGGGGCCCATGATTCTTCCAGGAGCTTAGGATGGTCTTTATAACCGAAATGTTAAGTGCGTGGAGAAAGGGCGTGTTGGGGCCTGGTGATACCTTGGGGTTTAAGGCCCAGGAGAGAGCACTCAATGTTTGTAGTATCTTGGTGCCAGACATCGCGTTGTACAGATCGGTTATTTTATCGGAGAATGTCCTGATGGTGGGACAGTCTCAGAAGGCGTGACATGGGACGTGTATGTAATTTAATCTTGACTCGTGTTCCAGAAGTTTTAGATTTACTCAGTTCAGATTTCTCTTTGCTCGCGTTTCGGGGTTGTGTTTGTTAGTCCCTACATATTTGGTGAATCGAGTCGACCCGATAGTGCTATTGGTCTTCTTGGCTCTTTCGGTAAAGTCATGTAGAATGAAAATAATAAAATAATAAAAATAAAACATTAAATAATTCTCACGACGTTTTGGCCACAACGCAAGCAGCCGTCCTCAGGTGGAGAGCAGGTCTGTCGAAAAGACAGAGTCTGAATGTCTTTTCGACAGACCTGCTCTCCACCTGAGGACGGCTGCTTGCATTGTGGCCGAAACAGTCGTGAGAATTATTTTATTACGTTTTATTTTTATAATTTTATTATTTCCATTCTACGTGACCTTACCGAAAGAACCAAGAAGATGAATCCCTGCAGTCACGAAAGCTTTAAATCGAAAAGTGCTATTGGTGTCATGCCGTAAAACGGCTTGTCCATTCGGATCTCTTGCAGAGAAGCTCAACCCCTCTGGAAGTGGATAGCACGGTGATATACATCTGAGATCCTTTCCAGTGGCCTCCGGTCCCGCGCAAGCGTAGGGAATCGATGGCCTCAGCCCGCTTCCCGACGTCTGTGCAAGCAGAAAAAAACAACCAAGCCCCCATCGCATGAAATTTGGTTCTGTGCTTGATTTGGCCTAATCCCAGCTTGGTGAGTTAACTTTACTCTCGGGGCAGAGCGGGTTGGAAAATTCTGCCCCTTACATGTGTGGACCAGAGGTCACTTGAAGAAGGACACTCAGCGGTAACTCCTTGGTGTCCACTTCTGCGAGCCGTTCTCGAACAGGAGAAGGGCTCGCGCCGCTCGGTGAGATTTCATAATCGATGCCTCGCCTCCGTGACGAAATGTAACAACAACTTTGAGATATCAATGGAAAGATACCACCCACCCCCCACCCCGGACGAGCTGTTACCTCTCGTGATGTCTCCTCAACCGTGTCTCTGGTCGTCGGGCTCGTGCAGCGGCCTCTCTCCGGCCGAGGCGGATGTGCAGCTGCTGGAGATCGCGCGCCGGCAGGACACGTACGGCCTGCGCCTGCACCAAGCCTACGACAAGGAGGGCGCGAGCATCAACCTGGCGGTCGGCTACTCCGGCGTCTCCGTCTTCCAGGTGCCGCCGCTCGTTCTCCCTCCGTGCGGCTCGAGCGACGGACATCGAGGCTGCCGTGCAACTTTCTCGTTTTTGTTAATTTTCTTAAAACGTCTTGAAGGATTTTACCTCCCACCTCGAGTGTGGTTGGTGCTGCAACTTTGTGTCGCCGCGGTGGCGCCGTTGATTGGGTGGGTTACCTGCGAGCGAGCCGCCTAATTGGGACGGTGATTGTTCCTCAAAAGGCCACACAACTCTATGTCCATTCATCACCTCCGCCTCGATGATCCGTGAACAGCGGAGCGCCGCGGTGGCGAGATGTTATCTCCCTCGCCTGGTATGCAGGTTGTCGTGGGTTCGATCCCGACACCCTTGTTGAGGCCTGTTGTATATTTGGAGTTTGTGGTGTCTCTCTCCCCGTGGTCGCGTGGATTTTTCTCCGGGTCCTCCGGTTTTTCCCGTCCAGATTTAGATTGAACACGCGTTTAGAGAAATTGGCTGCTATACATTTCCATGCGATAAGCCACTTCATTGAGCTCTTGTTTGTGGCCAGGTCGCTTCTGAGAAAGAGCTAGACAGCTCAGTGGGCCTTATCTGGTGAAATAAAATGTGTTAGTTTAGCGAGTTAATTTGACAGCGATGAGGCTTTGAAGGCAATACCGTCGTTTTGTATGTGTGCTTAACTACAGTATGTGTGCTAAAGTTCAATTTCCATTTAATTTCTATGCTTTACTGTTATACGTGCTCGGTGTTCCCTCGGCATTATTGTTACAGTGCTTGTAGTGTTAACACGCTATATATACATCTCATTTCTTGATGTAATGCCGTTGTAATTATGATTGCTTTAACCAAGAGGCGTCTTTGCCGCCGACATTAGGAGTCTAGTGGACCGCCCGGACTGCATCCTGTCAGTGACGTAGATCGATGTCCTATACTTGGCCTGGCTTAGTATCCTCGAATTGATGTCCATGTCCTTTTTCTTCCACGTGATTGACTGCATGTATTATATATATTTTTAAAAATAATATTAACGAATATTCAGTATTCAAATATTTGTTGTCTGGATACTTTATGTTGTATAACTGGTGCTTTTTTGTAATGTTAAATCTCTCCTAAATTTTATGACGATTGTGCTATCAGCGTCACAGAGCGGTGCATCACCCTGTGTGGTACAGAGCGCACCACATAAGTGGATATCACAGCTATCTCTGAGATTCCTTCTGATTCAAGTGACACTGATCCACACAGAATGGCCCGCGGAAGTTGATATCACTTCATCTTCTTGGTTCTTTCGGTAAAGTCACGTAGAAGGGAAGTAATAAAATAATAAAAATAAAACATAATAAAACATTATTTTTATTTTTTATTATTTTATTACTTCCCTTCTACGTGACTTTACCGAAAGAACCAAGAAGATGAATCCCTGCAGTCACGAAAGCTTTAAATCGAAATTGATATCACTTCTACCTCTGCAATTCCGTAGAGGCTTAACACCTCTTTTAACGTCTGCTGTTGTTTTTTCTCTTTTCCGTTTTTTTTAGAACACAACCAAAATTAACACCTTCAACTGGGCGAAGATACGGAAGCTCAGCTTCAAACGGAAGTACTTCCTCGTCAAATTTCACCCGGACATTGAGGTGAGTGCCGATTCGACAAAGATCAAAGGGTTTAATTCGTTTTGTTGGTGGCATCTATTTGTTTTCTTGTCGTTCGTGCTGCTGCAAACTCCTCTTAACTCGCTGGGCAATTCGTTGTTGTTCTTCATCAACCCATCATCATCATCACCAACCATCACTCCCCCTCTGCTGAAAGCCTCCCCGTGCCACTGCCACCTCTCACGATCTGGCGATGCGATTGCGACGCAGTGGCGAGATGTTAACGACCTCGCCTGGTATACAGGAGGTTGAGGGTTTGATCCCAAACCGAACGATGGCTGTTGTATGTTTGGAGTTTGCATGTTTCCCCGTGGTCATGTGGATATTTCTCCAGGTCCTCGGCTTTTTCACTCCTCATTTGTAAAAAAGACGCGTTATGAGTAATTGGCTGCTGCCATAAATTTCCACGCGATAAGCCACTTCGTCGCGCTATCATTTGTGGCCATGTCACTTGTGAAAAAGAGCTACACAGCTCAGTGGGCCTTACTTGGTAAAATTAAAAACATAGTATGTATGTATAATATGTATAGTATAAATTTCGATTTAAAGCTTTAGTGACTGCAGGGATTCATCTTCTTGGTTCTTTCGGTAAAGTCACGTAGAAGGGAAGTAATAAAATAATAAAAATAAAATATAATAAAATAATTCTCACGACGTTTCGGCCACAACGCAAGCAGCCGTCCTCAGGTGGAGAACAGGTCCGTCAAGTAGACAGTGACTTTACCTATGTAACCAAGAGATGTATAGTATAGATGCAAAAATCCAGTATAGATGCAACAATGGATAGTTGCATCAATACTATACTATACATGTGTTGCGTGGAAAAATCGACACGGAGACGTCTCTTCTGGTAAGGGCTCATGCCAGGTTTATTCGGGGCTTACGCCCAGGAACTAAGTAGGGGCTTACGCCTAACAGTTCTCATGCACTACCGTCTAACTCCCCAGGCAAAGGGTAACTGGGAGGTCCCTAGCACCCACCCAGGCTGTTCGGGCTCTTCCCTCAGCACCGAGCGAGGGATCAGCCAGCTCGGTTGGCCGGGTGAAGTAGCCCCCCCTAGCCTGGTGCTAATTTCCCCTCCCCTGGGTCCCCACGTCTAACCTCTCTGTTCCCGGCCCCTAACGACGACCCCTTCACGTCACCCGTCTCGGCTTATAGATCCCCGGGTGACAAGCCGTCATCCATTCTACACCCCAAGGTGACATGACGTCATCCACTACTCCACAACACATGTATAGTATAGCACATTTATAGTATACTATACATGTGCAACATTCTACACCCCAGGGTGACATGACGTCATCCACTACTCCACAACACATGTATAGTATACTATACATGGGCAACATACATGTCTACTACATTCTAGATGAAGCAATCTATATAGTATAAAATAGATGCAACAATCCATCCCAGGGCGATTTACATCAAACGTGCGTGTACTGTCTGTGTGCGTGCGTGCAGGGTAACTACCAGGACACCCTGGAGTTCAGCATGAAGGGACGCGACGCTTGCAAGGCCTTCTGGAAGGGCTGCGTGGAGAGCCACGCTTTCTTCCGCCTCCAGGACCCGCCGCGGCCCAAACCAAAGTCGGTCCTTTTCAGCCGCGGATCATCCTTCCGCTACAGGCAAGGGCTGGGCCACGCATTTCACTTCCCGTTTGTACGTTCAGCCAACCGCGCTAATCGGAGGTGCCGGGGAGAGGACAACAACAAAAGTAAAAAAAACATTTATTCTAAAGAAATTAGTTTTCAATCGAAATTATTTGAAAGTGCGTAGCTCCCAGTGGCTTCCTGTGTGACGGCCGCATGGGTCAGAGGTCACGAGTACCACCGACTTGGCAGAGAATGACGCCTTACAGTTGAGCTTCTGTCAAATTGGCAACATAATTTTTTTGGCATTGTTATTCAACTTACTCATTTAGATTGCGCTATTGGTATCTGGCCGTGCAATGGAACAAAGATCAGATGTGCTTCTGTGGCCGTCTGGAACGTTCTTCCTTCTGATATTTGGAAGCCACCGGAGGTAGACACTTTTAAATCCAGATTGAAAACTCATTTTTCTAGAACTGGTTTTGTGTTTAGTTTGTTGTCCTTCCCCCGCACCTCCGATTATCACGGTTGGCTACGTACGGTGCGAAATAGGTTCTCCGTACATACATTGGGGATTTCTCGTAGTGGGCAGTGCACCACTCGGAGAATTCCCCCACAAGTTAATGTGACAGATCTACTTTCTGCAGTGACTTCAAATAGACCCTTTACCCAGATATAACGGCACACGTTTTTGACATGCACGTAATATACATACATGTATTTTAACACACCTCGCTCAGCACAGGCCCAAAGGCTAAAAACATCAATCAAAGAATGCTAGTTTCTTGCATTGAGCCAGGTTTTAAACGTGGGCAAATAGTCGCCCAAGAGCACAGAGAAAGCCGCCTGGTCAACTACCCGAACCAGAGAAAAACATCGCGCAAGACTGAGCACATCGTGTGAATGACTTTTTAACATATGGGATTATTTTCTATCCAAGATGATCCCAAGTTTGTTTGTGTAATTGATTGACTCGTAATTATCTGCCAAAGCGGGGGGGGGGGATGCCTTTGGGGCATTGGGCTGTGCCTCAGCCAATTACCAGGGTCTCACTTGTTCTATTCTCGTTATTTAATTACTGACTTCAAGCAGAGCTGTGCTGTGAAGGTCCTGCAAGGGCAAAGGTAGATTTTATTTTAAATTAGCATGGGTCTATTTACCTTATTCGTGAACGTTTTGCACATGGTTCATGTCTCGAGAAGGGAGCATCTTGTTTGTCAAGGGTTGTACATAGCGTCAAGTGACACGTAGCAAACACGTTCACACACACACACACACGTTTTTCAATCTATAACTTACACAACGAATTAGTTGATTTCGTTTAGCCAGGTGAGAACTTCAAGAGACCACGAGGGGTCTCGCTTGACTTGGGGCTCAAAAATGCCGAAAGCAAAACGAACGAAACAAATTTTGACTTAAAACTTTTGACAACTGCAGGAATTCATATTATTGGTTCTTTCGGTAAAGTCACGTAGATAGAAAATGTAAATAATAAAATTTAAATAAAATACAAAATTTAAATTAATTGAAGATAATAAAAGCAAAACAATAAAGTTGCAGCAGTGAAGCAGAAACCACGTTCTCATCAACGTTCTGGGTTCGGTTCCTGAAGAAGCTCTGAGCACGCGCAGTGAAACGTTGGACATCGTGCTGAACGACGCTCGGTACGTCCCGAAAACGCGCCAACCAGAGAGAGCGATAATCGGTGTGTTGAACTTCTCTCTCACCTTACGTAGCCAACCGTGCCAGTCAGGAGGTGCGGGGGAAAGTGCTTAGCTCCAGTGGAACGGACGGAAGAGCGTTCCAGACGGCCACAGAAGCGCATCTAAAAGCGCCGCGCGATTCGGTGACCGTCTTTGTTCGATGGTCAGCCAAAAGCCGCGGCGAGCGCGTGCGACATGTACACCGCGCAACGGAAGTGGAGAGACACAGGCGGCTGGGCGTAGACGGTGTTGGCAAGGCCACCTCTTCAGTCACTCGTCTTAACAGCATGCATTGTCATTATTGTTGTTGTCCTATATCAACCTGCTGTTTTGTTCGAGTTTTATGTACGAATGACTTCTCGTACGATTGTTTAATTCGTCCAAACTCAACATTTTTAACTAAACTATTTAATTTTACCAGGTAAGGCCCACTGAGCTATATAGCTCTTTTTCGGACGCGTCCTGGCCACAAATGGATAGCTTAACAAAGTGGCTTATCATCATGTGGAAATTTATAGCAGCCAAATACACTAAATGCATGTTGATTCTAAATGTGGAGGGAAAATCCGGAGTGCCCGGAGAAAATTCCACGATACCACGGGGAGAACACGCAAACTCCAAATATACAGCAGGCATCCTGGTCGGGATCAAACCCACGACCTCCTGTATACCAGGCGAGGTAGTTAACATCTCGCCACGATGGTGGCTCGGTTTTACGAAACAGAGCCCCGTCACGTTCTCCCAGCTTCAACCAAATGTCGACGTTGTGTGGCGCTAAACCGTGGATTATCTTCACTCTTGTCCTGCGCGTGACTTTCGTCTGGCTCAGCGGGAGGACACAGAAGCAGGTGTCGATGTACGTGCGCGACCACGGCAGCAGGAGGGTGCAGTTCGAAAGGTACGCTTGTGCAAGTCTCCATCGCGGTGTGCACTTAGCCTGGCACAAGCGCCGTTGTGACGTCAACGCCACCTAGTGGCGAATGGCCGCTGTTGTTGTTGTTTCAAGTTTAACCAGGTCAGAACTCAAGAGACAAGCATTGAGTCTCATTTGCAAGAGTCACCTGCTAGGGCAGGGGTCGGCAACCAAAATAACAAGAAGAGCCATTTCTTTCCAATTCGGTACAAAATTCAGTATTTCAAGAGCCGCAATGCATCTGAGTACACGTACTCATCGTCAAGAAGCAGCCCGTAAAGAGCCGCATGCGGCTCCGGGAGCCGTAGGTTGCCGACCCCTGTGCTAGGGCATTAGTGGACGATGATTGCTATGTAAAATCCAATTGAGCAATTTGCGCTGTAACTTTTTTGGATTTACATATGTACGTGCGCTTGTATGTACATGCGTGTGTATGTACGTGCGTGTGTATGTATGTGCGTGCGTGTATGCATGCGGTGGGGAGCAGTGGTGTAGTGGTTAGCGAGCTGCACTACAAACCCGGCTATCCGAGTTCGATTCTCGCTCACGACCAGCACCAAGTGACAACTATTTAAATCGGCCCAGGGCCTCCCCTCGGTCGACTCAAATGAGTACCTGGTGCGGTGTGTAACATCGCCACTGGGGAGACAAAGGCAGCCGGGCGTGGTGCTGGCCACCCACCCCCTCGCGTGCCGTGTCGGCCTTCATAGGTGCTTGCTAACAGCACTTGCTCCAACAGGATCTTTTTTCTTTGTATGAACATGCGTGTGTATGTGTATACATTTGCGTGTATGTGCATGCGTATACGTTTGCGTGTATGTGCGTGCGTATACATTTGCGTGTGTGTGCGTGCATATGCGTGCATACACATTTGCATGTGAGTGAGTGTGTGTGCGTTTTCGTTTGCGTGTGAGTGAGTGTGTGTGCGTTTTTCGTTTGCGTGTGAGTGAGTGTGTGTGCGTTTTCGTTTGCGTGTACGTTTGCGTGTACGTTTGCGTGTACGTTTGCATGCGTATACGCGCGTGTGCGTGATGCTCACACGACTCTGCCCTGTGCTTTCGTGCGTTTCAGGAGGAGCACGAAGATGAGGTCATCTCAGAGCCATCGAGACATCCCTGTGAACCCCCCGCAGCTCACGGCAGAGCCCCCTAAACAGGTACGGCTGGCCCAGCTCGCAACCGTGGCTCGTGCTGGAGGAGTTCATTGCTCGCGTACGCAGGGCACAAGGGGGAGCCTTTGCAGCAGTTCCGCGTCTTCACCGCTGGGCGGCGACGCGACCGAGCGGTAGTGCAGAGGTTGACGGTCTGAACCGCGCGGCCGCCCTGGTTAGTCCTGCGCTTGTAGTAACCGTGGCGATGGCTACGCGCAGTCTGCTTCGCGGTGGACGTTGAAGATCCCCGTGCCAGGCTGTGTGGGCCGGCGGCAAGGTCGAAATTTGCCTATTCTTTTTGTAGTATGTGCAAAGTTCATAAAAAAAACTAATTTCTTAGAATTGTTTCTTTTACCAGGTAAGGCCCACTGAGCTGCATAGCTTTTTTTCAGAAGGGGTCTGGCCACAAATGATAGCTTAACAAAGTGGCTTATCATGTAGAAATGTACAGCAGCCAAATACTCTAAATGCTTGTTGCTAAATGTGGAGAGTGAACCGGAGGACCCCGGAGCAAAATCCATGCGACCACGGGGAGAATATGCAAATTCCAAATATGCAAACATCGTCACGATCGGGATATAATCTACGACCCCCTATACTTCAGGCGAGGTAGTGAACATCTCGCCTGGTGATACATGTGTTTATAAGATTTAAAAAAATTATTATTAAAACTAGTAAAAAAAAAAATCCTGCTCCAGTGAGCATTGAGGCAGGGCCGCGCGAAATGAAGTCATGGGGTTCGCGTCCAGCCCGCGCGTCCAGCACCCACGTCCGTACATTCCCCACCCCCCGCTTCACATGCACCACTTCTGTGTCCGTCTCTCAGAGCGCGAGCTTCTCCGAGGGGGAGAGCGGCGGACACGTGTGGGACCCGGTGTCTCTCATCCTCGCCAAGGAAGGTTCCCTTCCGCCCAAGCAGCTGGAAACCACCAGCGACCAGCTCCCCTCCCCTACCGGCCGAGTTGGTACGGCCCAAGGTGGAGGCGTGGCGACGCAGGGCTTGGCGGACGCGAGTGACGGCGGTTTGCCGCCCGCCGTTGTCGGCAACGGGCGCGGCGGCGGCGGCGCGTCGAGCAACGCTGAGGGCAGCGATGTCGAGAACGAGTATGACCTCGCGACGGGCAGGGTAGCCGCACCGCTGACCCCCGAGCAGCGTTTTGGCGGGGAGAAGGCGACATCGGACGAGCTCTCTCCTCTCAGGTTCATTAACGGCGGCGGTCGGGCGGTGGAGCGGTTGGACAGCGACAGCAACAGCGTAAACTTAGGCAACAGCAACTCCAATTTGGTGGAAGAATTTTTTGACGACGATCCCGCAGATATTTTGTTTCACGGCGGACAGACCCCTAGCGAGCCGGCCGGCTCGGCGGAAGGTGACGCCTTCCGTCTCTGTGGCCACCAGGTGGCCCTTACGGCCCTCGCGATGGAGGACAGCGGAGAAGGTTTCGATCCGGAGAGAAACGTCGGTAATGGGGAGCGTCTAAATTTGGACGTGCACGCCACGCCCGGCGAATACTTCCTAAAGGATAAGACGGCCGCGTCTGGCTTTGCTGTGGGTACCGATAGCAGAGCGATGTTGAGGCACGCTTTCAGGCATTTGGACGACACGGATCCAAGAATTTTATCCCTTGATGGCACCTACAACAGCGGCAGAGTTCCAGAGAGCGACTTGTTCCTCGACTTAAACGCCGTCGAGTGCAACCGCGCGCACAACCTGGGCGCCGTCCCCAATGAGTTCTATAGCGTCGCCGACCACACCATGGACTCGGCAGCCTCCGACAGCCTGCCTGGCGAGCCGGTGAGCCCGGGCGTCGAGCAACTCGTTTGCTCGACGCCCGTGAAGCCGCGCAACCCTCCGGCGCTCCCGGCATCCGCCTACGAGAACACGGACGGCCAACTCGGCCGCCTCGTAGAAAACAGCAGCAGCAGTAGCGGCAGCAGCAGCAGCAGCGAATCGGAGTCGAGCAACTCCGACTCTGAGTTGGTCGTCGACGAGCGGGCGGACGCGTCGTCCAGCGGCCTTGTTATTGGAAACCCGCTGACGCTGCCGCCGATATCGTGCCCCGTTCTGCGGAACAGGATAGCGTACCTGGACGTTCCGTGCAATTACGATAGCGACGAGTGCGATGGCGGGTCGATTAACCTGAGCGACGAGGAGTCGGGGGGTCCCATCGGCAAACGGCACGGCTTGAAGTGAGCCGTCGTTTAGGCAACGGCCGTGCAGGTTTCCTACTCTCCAAGCAGCTTTTATCATCAACTCTTTTATTATTAACGCAAAATGTTAGATTTTTTTAAAAATAACATGCCAGGCGGAGATGGGGGCGAAAGCTGGTAGAATGGGTCAACGCAGAGTTGTACTCATTTTAAAAGGCACAAAACGAATCATTGTAACCACTAAGACGCAACCACTGAGCTGCAGAGTTAATGTCAAATGACAAATTACGTCTTCGTACCCCCGGCTGAGATACCGCACAGATGACCGGTTGGGCTACGGACGTGTGTGGAAGTCACTTGACTATGGCCACTGCATTAAGTGCGACTACAAATTAACCATCGTTGGTTTTGAAGAATTGCTATTTAATTTATATTTTTTAACCACCAGCAGAAGCGAGCGATTGCGGTTAACCGCAGCAAACTTCAGATTGGGACGCGGTTGACATATGGATGGGAGAGTGGGGTAGGAACGGGCAGATGACCTCTCATTGAGCCGTGGAAGCTCTCATTCGTTCTTCTTGGTCGGGTTTGGTGACTTTGTCATCACGGACACAGAATGTGACGCGGTCTTCTCGCGGCCTTCATCCGACTCATTGGCAACGTGTGAACGTGGATTCCTGGCGGCGGGTTTGTTTGTGAAACGTTTCAGTATCCGCCACTGGCTTTGCTGAAAAGTTCTGCAAGTTTTCAGGCCAACACGTAGTTGTTTAATGGGGGTTATAATTCGAAGAAACCAAATCCACCAATTCCCCAGCAATGGCACCGCTTGCTTTGGCAGTTTTCACATGCTGCCGAATTCATGTGCTCATTTGAAGTTGGTGCTAACCCACTGGTGCAAGACGGTGTACTCTGTAATAGGTAAACCTTGTCGTTTCAGGTGTAGTAATGGCGATATTTCTTTACGAAATAGTTTTCCTCATGAATCCACGAGTGTAAAATGTGCTTTCAATCAGTGCAGCTAAAATCTATTTAATCTTTATTTTATTATAAAACAGCTCTTGTTGCAAAAAAAAAATACTTTCAGACCTGTGGCCTACATGGTGACTGTGTTAACAAAAAACTGAAATAAGCATTTTTTGAAAAAATTGTAAACGAACCTGTAATTCTGTTATCTTGCATGTTTAAATTGCTTTGGTATCCACCACATGACTGTCCCCCACCCCCGCACACCTTGGTTAAACTAACTTAATTTGCATGTACAGTATAGAGTTGGGTACAAGGGCCTACTTGGGGTATAAGGCCTGTTTTGTCCTGGTGTTGACAGACCTGGCGTCATCAGCCATGATCAGTTTAAGGTCCACACATCGGTGTCCCCTAGAGGACCCCTGCTTGTAGTTTTTGCAGCCCAACAGACAGGTGAGCACCAGGATATATACATGCCTTTTACCCCACGTAGGCCTTTTACCTCCCACCCTACTATACATCTATACTTTTTTAGCATTGCCTGTATTGCTTAACACATTTTTTTCCATGTCAACACGTGCTGTCACGGGTTAAAGTTCAAAGCTCTGCTTGGTCTGGTCTGTACACTTATACCTGCAATATGGGATGCTCGTGTTTTTTTTATATATATAAAAGGCTTCTCACTGTTATGACAAGCATGGTATTTAATTTGCTTATCTACCACGGTTTTGCCGGCGACACTGGGAATCGGATGCAACTTGATCGGTGCAATATTGAATGCTGCATGGCTGTGTCATTGCTTTACAATACATTACAGAGAACGTGCATTCCTGTATTGTAAGCAAATACTTATTCTAATTTGGACATTAGAGATCAATTATTATAACAAAACTTTAAATATTGGACCAATAGGCCTCTGTCGCCTCGAAGCCTGCCTAATATGTTGTTGTTGCTTCGGATAACAACACGTGTTATATTTTGCTTAACACACAACACAATTTGACTTTGAAACGAGACTTTGAAAAGTGGCAGAAACCAAACTATCCACGCGTAAATATTGACACCTGCTGAAGTTGCCATCTTGATTCCGGGGAAACGGGAACGCTTGCTTTGTTCGAAGCTGTGCATGAAACTCTGTGCATTGTAACTCCAAACGCTGTGCCGCTTCACTCCCATGCGTGCTTCCGCTCCACTGCGGTCACTGACCCGCAAGCCGGTGGTAAACTTGTGCGCGCATCATCCGTGGGGTCGGCTCGTGCATTCTCCCCGACGTGATCTCGGGTCTTCTCTCCGACACTGGACTCTTTGCATGGAAAAGTTCGCTCGAAAGCCAATGTGCAACCGTCCGTCTGCCTTCCCTTGCGGCGTTTGACAGCACGGTTTGTGCCTGCCAGTGCTAACAGCAGACACGGCGATCTACCACGGGTGTTGTATTGTTTCGTTCTATAACCCATAGCCAGTAGTAGTATCAGCAAGAGCCCATTGACAATCCACTACTTGTGTGAAGGCCTCTTCGCCCATGCCAATTGTGGGGGTTGTGTGAGCAGACTTCACCACGCCGGTCAGTGTGGGTAGGTGATGTGGGTGGGGCCCAGCATCGGTGTAGATATCGCTCGCCACTGATGTTAGCCGGGGCCTGTAATTTTACTTTTTTATGAGTGTGTAAATTAGCATGGCCCGTTATTTTACCCACGTTGAAATGTTCACGATGTCAATCCAGGTCGAAGTCGTTGATCCCAACACATAAAATAAAAATATCTACTTTTTTTATTTTACCAGGTAAGGTACCCACTGAGCTATGTAGCTCTTTTTCAGAAGTGACTTGGCCACCAAATGATAGCTCAACGAAGTGGCTTATCACGTGGAAATTTTTAGCAGCCAAATACTCTGAACGCATCTTTTGTTATAAAAGTGGAGTGAAAAAGCCGAGGACCTGGAGAAAATATCCACGTGACCACGGGGAAAACATCCAAACTCCAAATATACAGCAGGCATCTGGGTCAGGATCGAACCCACGACCTCCTGTATACCAGGTGAGGTAGTTAACATTTCGCCATCGTGACGTCCTCATGCGCTAGCCACGTGCTATTCTATAGCTGTATGCGTTCAAGTTTGTATTGCTTACAAATTTGAAGTGCATCGCTTGAAATACGTTTCTATCAATTTGTAGCACTTTTTTGTAGAAACGAGAATGATCGTGACTGATTTGTAGCTAAAGTGGTTTGTACAGTAGCTTCAGTGATGCTTGTTTAAATATGAGGGAGATGCTGTAAATGAAACAAAAAACGCATTTAATTGCTCTGTTTTTACGATAATATTGGCAAGATGATTGAGTTAAATAGCTCCGCATCGAAGCCATTTACGAGTCTTAATTTTTAAACCCGCATTGTGACCTGCGCCTTTGATTACAAAAAAAAATTTAGCTTGTGGGGGAAAAAAAACACACACTTTTGTTAATGTCGCAATTATTCTCGCATTGTTTTGTGATCTCCTTGTGTTTTTGTATGCACGGGTGCATGGTTTCAATAAACAAAACAAATAGATTCACCTGTTGTTGTTAAGCCTGGTTGGTTAGTGTACACGGGACACGCACGCACGCACACACGCACGGTGTTCACAAAGCCTCGAGGGTTTCGCTCTGTTTGCGCATTTGACGGGCCCAGGTCGCATACTCCCCCAGAATACGCAAAGGATTTAAAAATGTGGCACAGTGGCTTAACTTTTGACGAGTGCTTGGCTTCAACCGGATCATTCCTGAATGCTGTTTTAGGTATTCTTTAGGCATTCGGCCCACATCCATCGCGACATATTTTGTCCCCAATGCTGTTGTTATTTATGCATTCATATGATTATTATAGGAATATAGGGTACAATACTGTGTTATATAATGGAAAATACAGTGTGAAATTAATCCTTGGTTATAAATAATTTTGTACCACCCCCCCCCCCCCACAATTATTTTTTAAATGCCCTCTTAATTGTGTGTCAATTACTGCCTCAAACTCTTCTAAAAAAATTATCCTCAATTTACGCAGACTTCAAGGCAAAAAACTATATAATTGCTGACGTTTTGGGCAAATGGCCCTTCGTGGTGCTTTATTTATTTCTTGACAAAACATCCCGCTTGACATTTTGCCTTTCCCCGTCTCGTGTTGAGATTATTTCAGTCACTTTGCTGATATAAATTGCCACATGATAAGCCGCTTTGTTGAGCTATAATTTGTGGCCAGGTTTACTTCTGAAAAATCAATTAATACCTCAGTGGGCTTTGCCTGGTAGGATAAAACAAACCCGTTTCGTTTCATTTGTATATATTTTTAAGCGATGTGTCTACCTTTACTACACTTTGCCCTCCTCTCGTGTTTTTGCGCTGTTGTAGCATTTTGACCCGCTCCTAACTGGACATCTGCGATAAAAAAAAGCTTCATAGCTCCATCGGATTCCACCAGTATGAATAGATATTCCGACTCTGACTCGGCAGGGAAACTCTGCACGCCAGACTTTGGCACGCAAAGCGGCGGCCGCACAGAGTTTGTCGATGTCCATATCGGTTGGCAGCTCAATCTTTCTACTCGTCAACGAGGTTCAGAGACCCTCTGACCGTGTCAGGCACTGAGACTTCAAAAACACCCCCCCCCCCCCATGCACGTTTTATCCGTGCAATCGGAGCACCTTAAAGCTGCATGATGTTTTATCTCACTTAATTTGACTACGATTGTGTTCTAAAAGTAATTTGATCTTGCCGGCCTATGTTGTCATTGATAATCGATGTATATATTTGTTCTTTGGTTCTTTCGGTAAAGTCACGTAGAAATAAATTAAATAATAGAATACGACGTTTTGATTGCAACACATGCAACCATCATCAGGTGCAAATGAATGAGAAAACAAACCTAGTAAACTTGGTAATATAATGCAATATAACACACCTGGTTGATTACGTTCTTCCAAAGATAACGAAATTTGAGAGAGAGACAAAACATAGACACGGAGACACAGACAGACACACAAGCAGAGAGAGACTCACACAGACAAACAAATTTAGCAATCTTTGGAAGAACGTAATCAACCAGGTGGGGTGTTGACTGTTGTGCTGGCCGACTCTCTGTGTTGTATTGCATTATATTTCCAAGTTTACTATGTTTGTTTTCTCATTCATTTGTACCTGATGATGGTTGCTTGTGTTGCAATCGAAACGTCGTATTCTATAATTTAATTTCTTTCTACGTGACTTTACCGAAAGAACCAAATCGTAATTCCTGCAGTCACGAAAGCTTCGAATCTAGTTTATATTTGTGCTGTATTTTTCTCCTGTACTGCGGTTGTGCACGGATTTAGTTTTATTTTCCTTGGTGCGTTTTGTTTTTATAAATATTTTTTGTCATTTTGGCGACACCCCTGGTCGCTCTTGCAAACGACGCGGCCCCTGGTCTCTCCCAAGTTCTCACCGGGCTCAACATAACGAACGATTCATCTTCGTATGACGTTCAGCCACAGCGCATTGCAGGGGGGAAAAAACTCCCAAATGAATTCAAAGACACGGGGCCATATCTGTTACATCGTCGTCGAACATTTTTGTTCAAACGAGGCCACAGTCTGCCCGGGACAGTGTAACCGCCACTTGCTGAGCAACAACAGCCCCATCGATTATTTTCGAAGGAAGTTCCAAAGTCCGTTTCATGCCAAAAATAAAACTCGTAAAAAAAACTCTTGCTGGGTTGTGATCTTTGGAAATTGGCCTTACCATCTCATTTTATTTTGGTGACTAATAAACGCCTTAGTTTCGTGGTAATGTTTGAAACTTACCCAAAAAATTAAGGTCTTTGTTCATTCATTGTATTACTTGATTTCAAAAGGTTGGAATTGATGGGTCTTTTATTTAAACAAGTAATATTTACGGTAGAGTATTATATATTTCTTAAACAGCCAACAGAGTAAAAACATTGTCTTAAATCTGCAATACACTCAGGGTCAGATTCACATTTTGATAAGATGGTCAAAACACATCATCTGGGCGATTCCCCCCATCATTGGTAATGAAATCCACGGCAATACATCAGGGGGTGGGAGGCCTCTGTCCAGCAGTGGATAGATCCCACGGCTGATGACAACGAAACCTCAGCACGTTGCCACCCGAAAAAATATCTCCCGAAAATAAAACATCCCGGGAACGAGTGAATCGGGCCCTGAATGTAGCTTGCCTACGGCACGCAATACGTCCCGCCGGCAGCAGTTCATCAATTAGTGGTGATTAAACATTTAATTCTGTGTGTTCAGACCAAGGCCCCGATGTTCTGGTGAGTCGTCTGCGACCTCCGGGGGACCCGCAAACCGAGCCGTGGCGAGTCGTGTCCCAAGCGGTGGTGGTGGCGGTGGCGTCCACGTCGCCGCTGCCTCCGTCTCCCACCGGGACCGGGGCAGCTACGGAGCCCGCGGCAGCGGCACGGGTGGAAGAGGAGGAGGAGGCGAGAAAAAAGGTGAGTTGGTGCGGAGGAGGAGGAGGGGGAGCCCGCTGTGTAGCTTCCGTCGGATAAAGAGGAGGAGCTCTTTGCGGGTGATGGAGGGAAAATGAAAAGGGGGGGGGGGCTTTTGAGAGAATCGTACGATGCACGCCCTCGTTCCGTTGCCAACCGTGCCACGTGCCACCCAGACGTCGAAACCGTCGGTGCAATCGCGCCTTGCGTAACCCGTGTTTACAAAGTGGAAATTCCTCAGAGGCTGTTGTCAAGACAAAACAAAAACGGTCGGTGATTTCCTGCTCGAATGAGATTTATGTAGTAAGTGCTCATCTATTCGCAGCCCGTAGTGGAACTCTCACATTCCTACGGCAGTGGGCGAGTCTTTCAATAAGGACACGCTCTGTCGGCGTCTTCATAACATCGTGTGAATGGTATCGACCCCGGAAGGATGATGGGCCGAGTCATCCCCCAACTATGAATTGAACTTAGCAACTCTCCGATTGTCAGCCGCTCGCTCGAGCGCTCAGCCACGCAGGGCTGAGATTAGCAAGAGGTGTCGACCTAAAGCCGTGGCGTTGAAGAATCTGACAGCTGCCAGAGAGAGGGCACGGCAGTTCAATTGACCCTAAGCTTCACAATGTGGCACAGTTTGGATTTACAGAACGTCTAAATGTCACCGCATTTGCGGCGGCTGCCCAAACAGGAAAAACGTAGTCTAGTCAGTTTTGAAACTGCACAGCCAGAATTTAAGTATTTTCTACTGATCCACATAAGGTGCCATTGTTGAAGGTAATTGTCTGTAGTTTAAAGTGTAACACTTATTTATGGAATGCGTCAGTGGTTTGACATTGACAGTGTAGAGCATTTATCCCTTTCCAAGAAAGGTGGACAGATGATCAGAATTACAATCCTAATTAGTTGGCATGCCAACGAAAAAGCCACCTCGTGATAATGACGGTAATGTTTAATCCACATAGTTAAAGTGTCTAAAGTGTATGTCCGAAATCATGCAACTGCCCATCAAGGAATTATGGGTAGAATTCTACACACAACAGAGGGAATTGAGACACTTAATATAGAGAGAGAAAGAGTCATCTATGTGTGTGTCTGTCCTGCTCCAGTGCTGATATTTACGCACCGCGCCTTGGCCGGGAATTAAACTCAGGTGGCTGGGTTCACAGTGCAGTGCACAACGCACGATGGCCCAAAGCGGCCGGGGCATGGCACTGGCCACACGAGACCTCCCTTGTGTGCCGTGCCGGCCTTCATAGGCGCTCGCTAGCAAGCCACTTGCCCTAACAGCCTGTGCAAGGATATACGGGTGATCTTTGTGTGTTTTTTATCTTTGTGTGTCTTGCCTGACAGCGGTGCCCAGCTGATAAGGCCTACTTCATCGCCAAGGAAATCTGCACGACAGAAAGGACCCACATCAAGGATCTAGAAGTCATCACGGTGGTATGCGTGCGAGAACATCCCATGCAGTGGACACAGGGGCTTAGGTACCAGCGGGTCTAGCCAGGTCGGCATCCCGCACCCGGCACACCACGTCCTGAATACCTCTCGCTATGTCAGTAGGCACTACTAAGTCACGTGCCACCCACTCCATTCTACCAATGACCCGGAAAAAAATTCGGTGAGAAAGTAAACCCTGGTTGAGCACATTCACTGCAATTTGAATGACCAATGGTGGTGATTCAAATAATGGAAAAGATAAAGCGTGTTTCAGTGAAGTTTATAAACGGCGAAGTTATTATTTTTTATAAAAAAGAAAGCAAAACATTAAGTTTAACTCGCTGAAAAACTCTGCTCAAACTAATTGAGTTGTTGACAAAAATATTTGACCGTTAATCTTCTGTGCAAATCCTGATCAGCTGTGAATGTTTTGCCCGTCAGTCCTGTGGGATGGGTCCAACAAGCGTCACCTTGGAAAACATTGGCAAAAAGGTCGTAATATGGATACACTTGGCGCCCACCGTAGCAATACGGAATTTCCACCAATGGTACTCAGGACTGCACAACCGAGGTAAAATGTTTACACAGAAAAGCCTAAAAGCGAGGCTCGGAGCGAATCTTTTTTGCTTCTACGGCCAACGATTCGACAAGACGCATCTTGGTTTGTATGCAGGTAGGGAATTCAAGTAGCCTCAGATCGACTGCACGGGGTGACCAGCAACACACGCTGGGCAAACGGGTCTCGAGTAAACAAGTCACGTGGGTGTTTTTTTTGTAAGGCGCCGTGGCTTTGCCGCGGCTTCAAACGACGCGTGACAATGTGCTTAAAAGCACACCACAGCCTTTGTGCATTTGCAATGGGGGGTGGGGTGAATGTAACGAAAAAAAAATCCCACCACCCATCAGCAGTTCGTGAAGAACTGCATTGTGGCTCTCTTGTCTTGGGGTCACCATCAAAAACGCATTTGAGTAAACGCTGCCAACCGGCAGCAGCAGTGATTGACACCTCAACTGTAATTCTAGATTTGAAGCTTTCGTGACTGCAAGGATTCATACTGTTAGGTTTTTTCGGTAAAGTCACGTGACTTTACCGAAAAAACCTAACAGTATGAACCTCAACTGTAGACCGGGTTTCGTCCTCATCGTGACTCGTCAACACAGAATGGTCACCAATGTTCATCGCTGCACAGCCCGTTTCTGACAAACCGTATAAGTTACTCTTAGATTGAGCAGAATTTTGCGGCGAGCAAAACTTTCATGCTTATTGATGTTAATATACCCCCACGATACGTTGTGACGTTGGGAATGACGGTGATTTGACGGCGCGTTGCGTGCGGTGTGCAGTGGTTTTCCAGCTTTCTGGGCCAGGAGAGCCCCATGTCCAAGGAACTTTCCTCCAAGCTCTTCTCCTCTTTCCAACCGTTGTGCGACTTCCACCGAACTTTCCTCAAGGAAGTGGAGACCAGGCTCACTCTCTGGTGAGAATGTCTCCAGGCTGTGCCAACGTTCATCGCGGCTCCACCGTTTGCCCCCCCCCAAGTCTAAACGGAACTATTTTAGATTTGAAGCTTTCGTGACTGCAAGGATTCATACTCTTAGGTTTTTTCGGTAAAGTCACGTAGGTAAAAAATAAAATAAAAATGAATAAAAATAAAATAAGCTCCCCCCCCCTTTCCTCCCCCTTAACTTGTATTTAAGAACTTGCATCTTGGAATCCCTGCCTCACTTGATACAGCAAATCTGGCTGTGACGGTCCCACCTGATGACGGAGACTTGTGTTGCCTCCGAAACGTCGTGATTTTTATTATTTTATTTTTATTAATTTAATTTCATTTTTTACCTACGTGACTTTACCGAAAAAACTAAGAGTACGGAACAATTTTTTTTATTTTTACCAGGTAAGGTTGACTCTGACCTTTTTCGATTTTTTTCAGACACGACCTGGTCACAAATGATAGCTCAACGAAGTGGCTTATCGCATGCAAATGTATCGAAGCCAAATACTCCAGAAACGCATGTTGATTCTAAATGTGGAGGGAAAAACCGGAGGACACGGATACAAATTCACACGATGCATGGGGAGAGAGAGACACGCAAACTCCAAATATACATACGTCAGGGTCGGAATCAAACTCACGATCTTCTGTATACCAGGCGAGGTAGTTAACATCTCTCCACCGTGGCGTTCAATTCACCCGGACTGCGACTGACCGATTTCTTCCAATCTCAGAAGGCAAGTTGGGGTCGTGCCTCATGAGTATTTGAATGGGTGACCGCCTGCATCAGGGCTTGCCAGGTGTTGTAGGCGTGCAGGCCGGCGAGGTGTAGTCAGGAGGAGGCAGTGCTGATGAGAGTCGCCCCCTCGTAGAGCAGAGTGGTTCTGGGTTTCTCCAAGTTCTCTGGTTTCTTCCTACAAGGCAAATGTTCATTAAGTAAATTTGATAAATAGATGTATGGATAATACACAACGATACCCCGTCTAGCCTCTTTAACAGATTGTTGGGGCAAGTGCTGCTAACGAGTAGCAGCCTATGAAGGCCGGCATGGCACACGAGGTAGTTGGTGGTCAGCACCACGCCCGGCCGCCTTTGTCTCCCTAGCGTCAAAGTTTACACACCACACCAGCTACTCATTTGAGGCTGAGGCGGCCTTGGGGAGGCCCAGGACCGGTTCAGAAAATCATTACGGTGTTGGTGGCCGTGAGCGCGAATCGAACTCGGGTCGCCGGCAGAGGTCGCAACCGGGTACCCAATACCCGTACCCGTACCCGGCCGGGTACGGGTACGGGTAGACCGTGAGTCACTGGTGAGTAACTGTTTGTCACTCATTTCCCAACGTCTTGTCTCTTCTCACAATTCAAGTTCCTTGAATCAACCCACCCGCACCTGCAACATGGCTTCATCCCAGAGGTCGCAATCAGGTACCTGATACCCGTACCCGTACCCGGCCGGGTACGGGTACGGGTAGGGTACGGGTACGGCCGGGTACGGGTACCCGTTTGCGACCCTGGTGCGGCCGGGTACGGGTAAGGAATCAAAACCCGTTTGCGACCTCTGGTCGCCGGGTTCGTAGCGGAGTGCAGCGCTAATCGCGAGGCTACCGCTCCCGTGCGGTGCGACACCGCTGCGTGTGAACGTGCAAGCGGGACGTTCCATCTCCCCAACGTCGCGGGTTCAACGTCTTACATTTATTGAACGGGTTCATTTTTTACTTTGTTCAGGGAAGGCAAGTCGAATGCCCACCTCAAGGGTGACCACGAAAAGATCGGAGACATCATGCTGAAGAACATGCAGCTGCTCAAGGTTCGTTCGTCGAGTTCGACTTTTGCCCGTGAGCAGCGACACGATAGCGGATGTCTGGAGGCTCCTAGCTCAACGACGTGTAACGATTCATAAAAAAAAATTGACATTTGATTCTTCAGCGTTATATACAACGTGCTTCACGTCACGAGACGAAGCGTCCGTCCGAAACTCGCGCAGAGGCAGAACTGACCGCGGAAGTGGATATTACAGAGCTACCTCTGAGGTCAACTTCAAGTGACTTCTGTTCCGCACAGCAGGGAGGCAGCAGCGCTTTCCCCACCCGCCCTGCCACCCAGAGTAACGTCTGTCACCTTACAATCGAACTGATGTTCATTTATTTACGGAGGCCCTGATGTCAGCAGTGACGTGAGCAAGCAGGGAAACCGCCGCCACCACCAATACGACGATGATGATGATGAGCGTTCTTATTAAACCGTTGTAGGTAAAGAGGAATTTTGGTCTGGGCCTTTCCGGAGGGCCCTCAGTTCCACCTGCTCGTGACGACGGCCCAGACCGACACTCACAATAATTATATCCTCAACGTTTAATCCGGCTTATCGTGACTAACGTACACCTTTATACATTTCTTATGATTGGCTGGGGCAGGCCAAAAAATATTTGATGAGGAAATGAAACCCAGAATATACACCCCCCCTCCCCCTTCTTCCATTGACGTGTCAATGCACTTCGATATCATTCTCCGATCTTCTCTTATCTTCTTCTTCTTCTTCCATAATATAAGTTTTTGGGTCAGATCGCGTTATTTATAAATGTGTCGTAACCCTCCACCACCCGACATGGCCAAACAGTAAAAAATGTGTCACGTTTTCAAAGGACAAATGAATTGACTTCTTTAGCCCATTGACGTGTCTTGTGACATGCCCCCCCTCCCTCCGATTATTTTGCCCCTTGGGAGGTGGCAACCCACGCTCTTGCCACCTCTCTCTCTCTCTCTCCACCCCTCTCTCTCGCCCCCCCCCCCTCCCCGCTCCGGCCCTCCGCCCCGCAGAGGCTGGTGTGGCCGCTCTGCGGGATGGAGCAGGTGCTGCGCAGCTTGGAGAGCGAGGTGCAGGCCTCCCACAAGCTCGCCGACGCCTGCCGCACCTTCGAGCTGCAGCGCGTGTGCCACCTGCCGCTGGGCGGGTTCCTGCTGCGCCCCCTGCAGCGCCCGCTGCACTACCGCCTGCTGCTCGAGCGCCTGTGCAAGCACCACGCGCCGGACCACCCGGACTTCCGCGACTGTCGCGGTGAGCCCCGAGCCGCTGGCGGTGGCGGGGGGGAGGGGGAGGAGCGGGGGGGGGGGGGGAGTGGGGGGGGGGAATCGGGGGGGGGATCGGGGGGGGGATCGGGGGGGGGGATCGGGGGGGGGATCGGGGGGGGGATCGGGGGGGGGATCGGGGGGGGGATCGGGGGGGGGATCGGGGGGGGGATCGGGGGGGGGATCGGGGGGGGGATCGGGGGGGGGATCGGGGGGGGGATCGGGGGGGGGAATCGGGGGGGGGAATCGGGGGGGGGATCGGGGGGGGGATCGGGGGGGGGATCGGGGGGGGGATCGGGGTGAAGTGGGGGAGTGAGGGGGTAGCATGGGGGGGGTAGCGGGGGGGGATAGCGGGGGGGAGAGCGAGCGGGGGGGTGCAAACGGGGGGGGAGCGAGGGGGGGGGGCGGCGGAGGGGGGGCGGCGGAGGGGGGGGGGAGCGGTTTGAATCTCATGGGCCGCCCCCCCCCCCGGTTAATGCCCCCCCCTCCCCCCCCCCCCCCCCGCTGTGAGCCTACTGGAAAGCTATGCCTGCCAAACACAGAATCAGAATCTATTTTTATATCCTGGAGAAATCCAATGAGCCATGAAGCTCTTTTTTACACGTGAAAAAGAAAAAAAGCGTCACAATGTTGAGCTCATCGTTATTATTATGATTATCGCTGTTATTGCCTTGCGTTGAATTTGACCAATGCGCCGTTTCTCGGTGGCGCGTGCGGCTGCTGTCAGCGGCGCTGGCGGAGGTGAGCGAGATGACGTACGGCCTGCAGGACACGCTCCTCCACCTGGAGAACGTCCAGAAGCTCATGGAGCTGCAGAGGGACCTCACCGACATGGAGGACTTGGCCATGCCAGGCCGGGTAAGCCGGGGCGACCGCACACCCCCCACCCGCACCCCCCCCCTCCTTCTGCCCCCACACGTTCCGTCGGGATCCAATTCGCGAGCAGGAGCGCTTCTTGCCGCGTCTTGCAGGGGTTCGAGCCCAGTGGACGCCCCGGTTAATACTGCGCGGGTACCAAAATAATACCGCGACATGCCGTCTGCTTCACGGTGGACGTTAAAGAGATTACGTGAAGTGTCAAGGTCCAGATGTTACTGCTGGCTTTGACATTCTACACCGGCGGTGTAACCATCGACAGCGTGAGAACCCCAACAGGCCGATACGCACATCTCCATAATGGGTGGAACATGAAAGACGCGAGCCACAGATGTGCGACTGTGTCCGTGCAACTCTGGCTATGGATCATATCGTAAACCACTGTAGTATGCACTCCTCCAATGGAGGTAACATAGTCAAATTCACACGAACTCTCTCCTGGAGCCCTTTCGTGACCAGCAGACCTCGACGTTAGAATAGTCCACGTTTATACTCTTTGGTTCTTTCGGTAAAGTCACGTAGGTATAAATATAAAATAGATCACGACGTTTCGGGCGCAACACCATCGTCCGTCATCAGGTGTGTTGTGCCCAAAACGTCGTGATCTATTTTATTTTATTTTCTACCTATGTGACTTTACCGAAAGAACCAAAGAGTATGGATTCCTGCAGTCACGAAAGCTTCAAATCAAGATAGTCCACATTTGTCTACGTTTGAAGATTACTCGCAAAGTACCGAATTGGGTAAAACCACACAGCAACATTGCACCCTACCTGTGAAACACGATAGCGTGTGATTATTTGTGACAGTACATAGTTTTTGACAGTTAATTGATAACGAAGTTTTCAGGATCACTGTTCAATTCAAGAACCAATTGTATTTTTCACGTAAATGTAATTTCACGTTGAAATAAAACGTTTTGCAAGTGCCGTAAATTCTCCACCACTGGTTCAGTGCTATAAGCGGGACATGAGTGTCTTGTGCCCGGTGCGTTAAACGTTTTCACTTATTAAATCGTACAAGACGATATCCGTTGTTGTTGTTGTTATTGTTGTTGCAGGAGTTTATCCGTGAGGGCTGCCTGCACAAACTGACGAGAAAGGGCCTCCAACAGCGCATGTTTTTCCTCGTGAGTTGGAAAAGTTTAGAGAAAAGTCGTGCATGTTTTAGCGTCGCGTCTTCGTCTTGAACAGGCGCAGAGAGTCGACAGCACTGACGGGTTGGCGAAGGGAGTTCCAGACTGCTCTGGAGGCAGTTTGAGAATAATGAATGACTTCCCACTGAGCGAAGGCTCACCACGAGGCTTTGACAGAAATCCTTCTATTCTGGGGCGGAGAGAGTGTGGAGGGGCGTATAGTCAGGGGAGAGGGGAGAGATATGGGAATGTGTAGAGGGGAATACTGTGAGAGAACAGTGGAGAGCTGTAGGCAGTGGATAGATTAAAACTAACTACCACATCACCTAACGCCTCCAGAAAGTAAGAAGCAGCACAAGACTTGTGCCCGATGTCAATTAATTTCGACAAATCTGGTCACACACACGCGCGCGCGCGCGCGCGAGGACACCTACTGGATTAATACATTCCTGCGGAGGGCGCTGGTAGGAACATTGGGTTGCTCAGTCAATGGCCAGGGTCAACGGCGGCGTGGCGTATTCCGCAAATATGCCCGACCGTGAGGGCGGGCACAAGCCGGCGTGAGTAGGTTAAACGTTGAGTTTTATAAGGGCACCACGGGGTGACCAGCCCCTCCCCACCCAGCCCGTCCCCTCCCACCCCCCACCCAGCCCCTCCCCACCCTCCCCTCCCCACCCATCCCCTCCCCACCCTCTCCACCCTGCCCCACCCCTCCTATTTTTGGATGCACGATGGACGGACGGACACAATAATCCCCTGTGGGCTGGTGGAACCAGGTGGTTCCTACCAGTATAAGACGCACCTACAAGTGCATTATACTCTGGATAATATAGTAATTGTGAAATATTGTGTGATCGAATTTGAGACCATAATAAGTTGATGGTAAATGTAGCAAAGACTACAACAATGTAGCAGAGATGACAACAAAAAAATGACCCTTTTTCAGATATCCCACTGATTTATAACAACCCTCTTAGCTTTCTACTCAATAGGCGTGATTGAATTTTGGTAGAGCCTCCATTTCGTAGAGATTATCGAGAGTGCTGAAATATTTTACAAGTTGTTTGAGGTTGGTGGGAGACACGTAGAGGCTTTGAAACAAATTGCCCTCGACCGTCAAGTTATTATTATCTTGCGTGGAGTAGTGGCGCTTCTACAAATGGATCACTGTGTATTATTCAGATTTTATTTCACCCGTATTGGCCCAAGAAGCACATCAATTGATCACCGCTTAAATCCGCCAGTCGAGGAAAATGCCACGATCAGAGCCAAGAGTTTAGAGATTACATCTGACGAGCGCGCCATATTCTGCACATTTCACAGTGACAAGGCACCCTGAAATGGCTGTCGACTGATAAAAAAAGTCTAAACCTACACGGATATAAGAATAGGTTTTTCCCCTTTTTTCTGGCAACAAAACTGAAACCTTTTTCGAAGAATCGTGTCTGCATTAATCACAATACTTGTGGTCAGAACGCTTTTTGGCGTCCTCTGGTCTAGCATCGTTTGAGACGAGGCTCAAAAGAAAGCCATCTCTGGTGTGGACCAATCAGTTTCAAGGACAATGCATATATTATTCGTGTGTTTTTTTTTGCATTCTGACCACAAGTATTGTGGTTAATGCAGACATGATTCCTTGTAAAAAGGTTTCAGTTTTGTTGCCAGAAAAAAGGGGAAAAACCCTTTTATTATATTTTGGTACTGGCAAAGGAGGTCTCATGATGTAGATGCCTACCCGGATAAATGTTTTTTAACAACTTGAATGAAAGAACAAAAACTCTTTCTCGCCTCTCAACGCGCTCCGAAAAAGGGCCGTTGCCCAAAACGTTTTTCTCGCGGCCACAATGTTATTACCGACTAACGTCTTGATATGTTGTTTCGTTTTAATTGGGTGCAATTGTGGACAACAACCATATCAGACATCTCAATCGGCAGTAATAACATTGTGTTTACTGCAGCTCAAAGGCTCACTCCGACAAGGCGTGTGGTGCATTGCTTCTCGTGACAAATGAGAATAGGGTTGAAGGGTTGCTCGCCCTTGACCCCAGACACACTTGAGCAGTGCGGTGGAGGCATAACCCTATACATGACCTGATCTGAAAGCATCCGAAGACTCATGTTGTTGTTGTTGTTTGTGCTTGACAACATGAATGGGGTCGGGGGGGAGGGCTCGCCTGCCCGGCTTAATATTTGCCCTGCGGTTTCAGTTCAACGACATGCTGGTGTACACCAGCAAGGCGCTCACCACCAACAACCAGTTCAAGGTCCACGGCAAGATGCAGCTCAGCACTCTGAAGGCACGACGCACAGCCCCCCACGTGACACGCACCTCAATTATCACCGCACCCCCCCCCCCCCGTCTCCTCCGCCCGCGACAATTCTCACCGAGGATCTCAGCGGTGCTGGCTCGGAGTCTCTAGACCTCCGAGCCACGGTGGCGAGTTGTTCACTACCTCGCCTGGTGTACAGGAGGTCATGGGTTCGATTCTGATCCTGACGCCTGCTGCTGTATATTTGGAGTGTGCGGTGTCCGTCTCCCCGTGGGTCGCGTGGATTTGTCTCCGGGTTCTCCGGTTTTTCCCTCTCCATTTAGAAGCGTGCGTTTACAGTATTTGGCTGCTGTCAGTTTCCACGTGATAAGCCAATTTGTTGAGCTATCATTTGTGACCAGGTCGCTTCTATATAGCTATTTGGGCCTTACCTGGCAAGATAAAGTTTTTATTTTAGTATATTTGGAGTTTGCATATCTCTCTCCCCGTGGGTCACGTGGATTTTTCTCCGGCTGCCTCCGGTTTTCCCCTCCACATTTCGAATCGACGTGACGCATTTAGAGTATTTGGGCGGCGATAAATTCCCCACGCGATGTCGATCGCACGTTGCGAAAGCCTGGTGGCTTCTGAATAAGAGCTACATGGCCCATGAGGGGAGGGACCCTTACACCTGGGTAACAACAATAATTACAAAACATGTTCTTGGTTCTTTCGGTAAAGTCACGTAGAAGGGAAATAATAAAATAATAATAAAAAACATTATAAAATAATATAGAATTATTTTATTATGTTTTATTATTTTATTATTTTATTATTCAAATAATAATAATAAAACATAATAATAAAACATAATAAAATAATGTAGAATTATTTTATTATGTTTTATTATTTTATTATTATTAAAATAATAATAATAAAATATAATAAAATAATATCGAATTATTTTATTATGTTTTATTATTTTATTATTATTAAATAATTATTATTATTAAAATAATAATAATAAAACATAATAAAATAATATAGAACTATTTTATTATGTTTTATTATTTTATTCTTATTAAAATAATAATAATAAAACATAATAAAATAATATAGAATTATTTTGTTACGTTTTATTATTTTATTATTTCCCTTCTACGTGACTTTACCGAAAGAACCAAGAAGATGAATCCCTGCAGTCACGAAAGCTTTAAATCGAAAATTAGAAAACATTGTTCGTAGTTTGCTCGCTTTGTTTGAGCCACCCGGCCCGTGGGGTGACGCCGGCTCTCACGCTCGTCTTGTCCCTCGTCGTTCCGTCCCAGATCACAGCGAGCGAGAGAGAGTTCTCCATTCCTTGCTCCTTCACCTTGTCCACCCCGCAGAAGCACGTCGTCGTGGCTGCGAAGTAAGTGCCGGAGACGGCCGGTCGACACGGTGGAGGTGTGGGGGGGGGGGGGGGTAAGGGGGGTGACGGGGGGAGTGGGGGGGTGGGATTGGGGAGTGCAGCAGCGACCTGCCAACAAAGTCAATAGGGTCTTGCCGTTATGGGGGCACATGATATGGCCAGCAGTGGATATATCTCGGCACATGATATGATTACGGCACATGATATGGCCAGCAGTGGATATATCACGGCACATGATATGATCACGGCACATATGGCCAGCACGTATGTTGTATTCCTAATAGAGGTTTTTGGCTTAGATCGCGTCAGTAGAAATGTGTCGAAAACCCTCCACCACCCGACACGGCCAATCAGTAAGGGATTTGTCACGTAAACAAAACGCCAAGTAGTTACTACTTCAGCCCACCGGCGTGTTGGAGAGTGAATCCACAACATTTACAATCTGAGTTTCGACGCATTTTTACTTACGCGATCTAACCCAAAAACCTCTATTATGAATAATATTGGTCGCGAAAGCCTTCGTGTTAAACTGACGTATGCTGTGTCTATATATGTTGAACTTCTTTTGCACCGTACGTATCTATAACCGTGCTAATCGGAGGTGCAAACAGACCAGTGGGAAAGAGCACGGCACCTGATGTGTGGCCCGCTCTGTAGCCTTGGCGAGGCCCTTCATGGTGAGTGGAACAGACCGATTCGGTGACCCACGCTCACTCGCGTCACTGTCGTTAGAGCCGCCCGACATCCGCGCCTTCACTTTTGCCCCCCGCCGAATCGCACTCCACGTGAGTGAGCGAGTGAGCGGGTGGGTGTCGGTGATTGAGTGGGTGGGCACGAGTGAATGTGTCGAGCGGCGGTGCGACCCGTTAGCGCCACGCTGCTCTACGAACCCGGCGACCCGAGCTTGATTTCCGCTCGCGGCTAACACCGATTATCTGAACAGGTCTTGGGCCTCCCCTAGGTCGACTCGGCCTCAAATTTGTAACTGATGCGGGGTGAAGACAAGGGAGGTCGGGCGTGGTGCTAGCCACCCACCCCCACGTGTGTCGTGCCGGCCTTCATAAGAGCTCGCTAACAAAACTTCCCCCAGCAGTCTGTCCACGCTGCGTGGGGGATCTTTGTCTTTGTTTGTGTGCGTAGCGAAGTGGGTGGGTGGGTCTACAGTCAGCACGCTGCGCTACGAACTCATCATCTCTCCGAGGTCGATTAAGTGGGTAACCACTTGGTAGGGAAATCAGCAGCGGTTGTACCTGGACCTGAGTGAGAGTCTTTCCCCCACCATGGCATTGTGCAAATTTCTCACCACTGGCTCAGGGCTGTAAACAGGAGGTGACCATCAACGCCTGGTTGCTCATTTCAGGAGGGAATTCGCTCTGACTTATTTTGTTTGAGAGAGAGAGAGGAGAGAGGTTGCCAGCCTTGGCCTTCGGTCCCTGGGCATGCCCTCTCACTGGGGGGGGGTTGGGCAGGGGGTGGTGTACCGGTCTGAGGCTCTCTCATTCTCTCTCCCAGCTAAGAGGCCGAGCCAACAAGAACCACGGTCGCCACGCAACAGGTGGAGTGGTGTCGGGTAGGGTAGGGTATTGGCCCGGAGCCACCCGGCGGTTTGCGAGCGCACAAAGGATTCGCCCCGACAGGAATTTCTCTTGCTCCGGCGTCCACCCCTCGCCCGCCCGCTCCCCCAGCCCCCCCAGCCTCCCCCCCCGCCCGGTGTGCCAGAGCGAGCGTGGCTCCAAAACGTAGAAGTTCGATGCGCGCAGAGCGCACCGACACGTTGCGATCTCTCTGCGCATCGCGGCCCCGGTGACCGTCGTTGTGTTGTTTGCATGGGCCGGGGCGAGAGGCGGGGGTATCCAGGAGTAGTCTTGATGTGGGGGGGGGGGGGGGGGGTGCTACATACCAAGGAGGCCGAGGATCTCCGCTGTACAGAGTCACGGAGATCGACCCGACCGGCGGGAGCTCCAAACGGGCCTGGCTGCCCTGGGAGGCTGGGATCACGACGCTTCCCAACGGCACAGGAATAGCAGCCCTTCCCCAAACTTAAATTCCCCACGCCGGCGACAATCATCAACGCGGCGTGGCGGGCACGTGGCGACGCCGCTTCAGTGTCGCCGCATCCACCTGTCCCCATTCAGTCACTCGTACCCCCCCCCCTGCCGTGCTCGTGTCTTGACTATTCATCTGTCTGCCGTACGAACGTCTTGACTATTCATGTGCCTTCCGTACGAGCTTCTTGACTATTCTTCTGCCTGCCGTACGAGCGTCTTGACTATTCATCTGCCTGCCATACGAGCTTCTTGACTATTCATCTGCCTGCCGTGTTCGCTTCTTGACTATTCAGCTGCCTGCCGTACGAGCGTCTTGACAATTCATCTACCTGCCGTACGAGCGTCTTGACTATTCATCTGCCTGCCGTGCTCGCGTCTTGACTTTTCATCTGCCTGCTGTACGAGCGTCTTGACTATTCATCTGCCTGCCGTACAAGCTTCTGGACAATTCATCTGCCTGCCGTACGAGCATCTCTCCAGGAGCAAGGGCCACGTGGTAGCCGTCTTGTTAAACGCCAGATTTGGGCTGTGGACGAACGACGCCGCTGTTCTTGAGAAGCCGCTGTAATCACAGGCGGCCGAATCTTGTTATCGAACCCGGAATCTCAGAGGTGCCGGCACGGCGCTCCGACAGCCGAGCCACCCACCCGGCCGCCCTCTTGCGTTGCATTTGATTTGGCGAAAAATTGTAGCTCTTGAGATTTTAAGATATTATCGGTTTCACTGTCACCCCGTGAACTATCAGAATCGGAATCTTCAATTTAGACCGGAGGAATCCGATGAGCTATGAAGCTCTTTTTCGCAGATGTCCAGCGAGAGAACTTGGTGTAATCACCAGTTTCATGGCAGTGCTCGTGAAAAACTTACCCTCAACGTAATCCTAACCTTAAACCTAATCCTAACACCAACCCTCAACCTAATCATAACTCCAACTCTAATTCTGATATCACCGCGGGGGTGGAGAAGGGGTTACTATTTCTGCAAGGGGAGTCTTGCTGACCAAATATAATTGACACCCTGGGGTTCACGTAATGTAAGGCACTGAGAATACACGTTCCAAATCCGGTGGAGTCCAAATGCCGTCTCGCACCTGCTCTTGACGGAGCCCTTCCCAGCGAGCCCGTCCACATCGCACACCTGTGACATCACTGCATAAAGAGCTTCACAGCTCATCGGATTGCTCCCCAGGACTAAATCACGATTCCGATTCTGACGCCACAACGCGGCTCGGTTACGGCGCGACCGATGCGACGCGATTCGGCCCCGATGACCGCCACCCCCCCCCCCCCCCGACGAAAATCTCTGCATTGCCGCTCGCAGCTCGCCGGAGGAGATGGACAAGTGGGTGGAGGACGTCACGCTGGCGGCGAGGCGCGCCGCCGACGACACGGTCGACCACGCCACGGCCGGCCGCTCGCCGTGCCGCGAGACCGACATCGTGGAGAGCCACATTTGTGAGTCGCACGCTACCACGGCCCGGCATGGCGCTCACACGTCGGTGTGTGTGTGTGTGTGTCTGTGCGTGTGTGTGTCTGTGCGTGCATGTGTGTGTGTGTCTGTGCGTGCGTGTGTGAACCTATGGAGCGGTAGTTGTAGCGGTTAGCGCTACGCAGCGCTATGAACGCTGCGATCCGAGTACGATTCCCGCTCACGGCCAACACCGGTGACGATTGTCTGAACCGGTCCTGGTCCTCCCCTAGGTCGACTCGGCCTCAAATGAGCATCTGGTGTGGTGTGTAAACATCGTCACTGGGGATACAAACGCGGCCTGGCGTGGTGCTGGCCATCCACCCCATTGTGTGCCGTGCCGGCCTTCATAGGAGCTCGCTAACAGCACTTACCCCAACAGTCTGCCAAGGCTACATGGGGGGTTTCTATCTTTCTCTTTGTATGTGTGTGTATATGCTTCTAATCGTGTGCGGAGTGGTGGCAGAGTGGTTAGCACACTGGGCTACAAACCCAGTGACCTGAGTTCGATTCCTGCTCACGGCCAACACCGGTGACGATAATCTGAATCCTGTCCTGGGCATCTCCTAGGTCGACTCGGCCTCAGATAAGTACCTGGCGTGGTTTGTAAACATCAACATTGGAGAGATAAACGCGGCTAGGCGTGGTGCTGGCCACCCGCCCTCTCGTGTGCTTTGCCAGCCTTTATAGGCGCTACTTGCGAACAGCAGTTGCCCCAAAACTATGCAAAGGCTACATGGGGGATCTTTGTCTTTGTGTGTGTGACTCTAATCTGTTGACCCATAACACCTGACCTCCGCACGGCGAGATTTCACCTTTCCACCCACAGCGCTGGGCTCTCTCCCTTCATAACTCATCAAGCCTTCGCCACCGCACACATCCTCAGAGTGTGCCTAGCCTGGCGCGGATGCTGCGGTGATATCAGTGACGCCTGATGACGAATGGCAGCTGCTGTGTCTATGTAAAATGTTTATATGTCCAACAGATTCAAGCGCTGGATTTAAAGACACGATTTAACATGTGTGAGTGATCTGTAAAACATTCGTCCTGACCTTAAGACACTGCACAGGGTTAAACAGGGTCTGATCGAAACCAAACCTTTGAAACGTCATCAAGGGTGTATCGATAGTTCAATGTTAATTTGCCATTTCATCTTGGTGTGGTCTGGGATTGTTGTTGTTTTTGCTGCCTTGCCTAATCCTGATAATGTAATCAATGTTTGTCTTATTTTTGTCTATTTAGTGACTCTATTTTGCACTCCTACCGTGTGCTTTTGTGCATTGCTCGCTGTCGTAGACTTGCCGAACCGCCCATAGTGGGACATCCGTGAGAAAAAAATCAAGAGCTTCATAGCTCATCGGATTCCTCCTGCAATCTAAAACGTAAAGATTCTGATTGCGGTAGCGAGACACACAAAAACCCCCTTCTGGCCTCGGGAGCCGGCATCTGACGGCGTCTTCTGCGTGGCTCCGATCGCAGAGCGGCAAGCACGCCGTGTGACGGGCGCCGGGCCACAATCTGCAGAGCCCAGTCCGAGGCAGCACCTTGTTGAGGACTGTGCTTCAAATGGTGCGGCAGATGATGATTTAAAGACGGTGGTCACCGTATCATCGCCACCGCGCGCTTTCCACATGCGCTTCTGCGGCCGTCTGGAACGCTCTTCCCACCCGTTATTAGGAAGCTCACTGTGAACTGTCCACTTTTAAATCATCCAGATTTACGAACTCATTTCTTTGGAACTGTTTTTCGTGTTTAGTTTGTTGTCCTTCCCCCGCACCTCCGATTAGCGCAGTTGGCTACGTACAGGTGCTAAAAAAAAGTTAAACATACACACATATCATTGCTCTCAGGCACTTTCTGATTCCAGCACTGACATGCGAATGGATGTGCGTGTTGCATGGCTATTCGGCATGACACCATACACTTCTCTGTTCATCAAATATGAATACACGATACACGCATCGCACCCAAACGTTGCCGTGATTTCACGCTCGTATGACCCTTAGCGCTGCATTCATAGCCCGTTCACAGCCCTGAGCAAGTGGCGAAAATTCCACATTCCGATGGCAGGGCCGATATTAACCATAGGACAACCACTGTCGACTTACACATTAAGTGGTACACGATTTTATCCACCTTGGTGGGATGATTGGCTAAGTCAACCACCAACCAGGATTTGAACTCGCGACCTTCCCATTGTGAGCCGCTCCCTCTCCTGCTCAGCTACCCACATCGAAAAATAGGAATTGGTTTTTTGCCCTTTCTGGCAATAAACCTCTGCTTATTTTTCATATTTTTATCCTGCCAAAAAAGGTCCCATGATATAAATGACTCACCCCGAGCCATATAAATGTTCTGATACGTGCAGTGTTTTTGTGCTGTTCGCCTTTTAGCGTTCTGTGGTCTGACACTGGTAGTGAGACCTGACCATAAAGAACGGTGTCTCTGGTTTAGGCCACTCCGTTTCACAGACAATGTGTACGTTATTATTATTATCAGAGGATGTTTGTTTGCATGTTCACCACAAGTATGTGTAAATAATGCAGACGATCTATTTGGCGTTTGAACATCTTACCACCACATGTTTTATTAGCGGAAAGAGTAAAAACCTATTCTTATTTTTCATACTTTGATACTGCCAAAAAGGTCCCCCATGATACACCCACATCGAGTTGCACAATGTAACAATAGATCTCGATTTGAAGCTTTCGTGACCGCAGGAATCCATGCTCTTTGGTTCTTTCGGTAAAGTCACGTAGGTAGAAAATAATAGATCACAACGTATCGATCGCAACACAATTTTTTTCCGGAAGTGATCAGAGTCAGAATATTTTATTTATGCTCGAGGAATCCGATGAGCTATGAAGCTCTTTTTCACCGATGTCTAATAGTTTTCACGGATGTCCAGTAGTTGGCAGGGTGACACACCATCATTGTTGGTCTCTTATAACGGTTGTAGCGCTGTACATCGATTCATAAAATCGCTTGTTTTCACGATACATCAATCGCGTGCTTGAGATTTTTTTTATCGTATATGTTGCACTTAATAGCATTAACATCACCTCTGCAGCCACTGGAGGCGCTACTATTCACAGCAATGAATAAAAAAAATCCATTCTTGAATTATCACCCCGGATCACGGTATAATCCGTCGAATCGTCGGGGAGCGAATCAGTCATGGGCCCACCACTCCCGTGTGCTTGTTGTCCGTGTTGATCGCCATCGCGACCACAGCTCTGACTGCGCACCTGGTGACGCTAGTTGTAATTACTGGCGAAACGTCACGCTACTCAAATTGTAAATGTAGTGGGATTTTACTCTCCAACACACCGGGTGTGCTGTACTCATAACGAATTGCCATGTTTACTTTACGTGAAACCTTGCTAATTGGCTGCGTCGGGTGGTGGCGGGTTTAACAACACATTTTTACTTACGCGATCTAACCCCAAAATAACCTCTGTTATGGATGAGCAAATAGGCACTTCACGATGCGCCCGTGATCGACGTCGATATTAGCGCTCGCCCCGTACGAGGCGTTCCGTTTCCCCCTTTGAAGCAAGGACCGATGAGAAGAAGACGCGAGCACCGTCTCCCCGCCTACCCCCCCCCCTCCCCCCGCGCGAAAAACCTGTCGCTCCCACCCCCCACCCCCGCCAGACTCCTCCGACGACCAGGAGGACTCGGCCGAGGACGAGGCCGCGTCTCCGCGGAGCCCTCACGGAGCCTCCTCCGAGAGGCTGTCCGTTCACCAGCAGACGAGCAGCACCGTGCAAGTGTGCTGCCACCGGCAGACCAGCGTGTCTCTGCTGGACATCAGCCGGGCGGCTGAGGTAGCGGGGGGCGGGGGCGGGTGGGTGTCCGGTCTGTGTCGTGAGTTTTTCGTCAAAGTCTAAAGCGAAGGTGACCCAATTTTCTCGCGTGGTTCCGAGGCCCACGCCGTCATTGACAAGCAAACTAAAAAACGACGTCAGTATAAATGGGGCGCAAACTTGAAGAGCGCGGAGATGACACGTGCTGCCGAATTACACTGAGAGACGCAGCGGGTTTGGGACGCGTGGATCGGAGAACGACGCCAAACAAGTTAGTGGCGTCATTTGAACTGCCTTGGGTGTCCGTGTGTAACGGCGAAATCTGTAGACATTCACTCGACCTCCCTGACCCTCTCCACGTGCCGTGAAGAAGGGTCATCGGCCGAAGCGTCGCCGATAGAACGCACGCTCGCTTCGCGATGCCCCGGCGTGATCGACGGACGCGTTGAGTTTGTTTGTAATGTGGACACGAACGGCGCAGTGGCACGCCGCGGTTGGGTTCGGGGGTTGGGGTTAGGGGTCGCAGCGGAGCGGCGAGTTGCGGCTGGGACACGCAGAGCGACATCCCGGCGCTCGACTCGAACCGTCGCGTTCGGTCTCCCGAGGTGAACGTTCAACGTCGTCAAAAAATTTGCCCGGCACGTGTCCACCACCGACACCGACACCGGGAACAAACGCGGGACCCTCCTCGTCATCCACATTGAGGCGTTGTTTTCCTCCCGACTGCCCTTGTTGTATCTTCATTTCAGGGCGTGCACCATTCACTCTCTTCCTTCTTTTCTCCAGTTGGATCTGTGTGGATCTTGTCTCCCGGGAAGATACCCGTTCCGATTTGTTTTCTCCCCGCTGTTGTCATCAGTCTGTCTGTGTTTTTTTTTATTCAACTCTCCTTTCCCCTCTACAACCGGCACGCCGAGCCAGGCTGTGACCGGCAGTTCTTGCGGTGTCAGCTGCCGCTGCTGTTGCTGCCGCTGCTGCCGCTGCTGCATTTGATTTCCCTTTTAGACCTCCGTCTCTTGCCTCGTGTCGCCCTCCGTCTTCGCGTTTTTCCTTTTCAACTTTTGTCCATCGGTTTCTTCGACCACCCGGCTGTTGCTTGTACCTAGTCCCCCCCTGCCCCCCCCCCCCGGGCTTTACGATTGAAATTGGTGGTTGAAATACTGCAGCAGGCACCCGGTTGGTTCACGCACGCGCGCAAGCACGCACGCACACCCTCTCGTGTGTACGTTGAACTTCTCTCGCACCCGTACGTAGCCAACCGTGGCGGTGACAGCCCTTTCGCACAGTCGGCGTAGCGCGGTCGGCAAGGAACAAAAATGCGCCCCACCTAACCAAACCCCCCCCCCCACTCCTCCCAATTTCCTCCTCTCTCCCCCCCCCTCTCTCTTCGTAGCCCGGACGCCCAGAGGGGCCCCCTCCGGCCCCTGGGTCTCCGCTGCGACCGCAGCCCCTTGCGCCCACCCACCGCTCTCGAGTGCTCGCCTCGCGCCCCGTCGAAGCGAATTCGAAACGCCTGACTCGCACCGCCGTCTTTTCCCTCTCCGTCTCGTGCGTGCGTGCGCTGTCCCTCTACGCCCCCCCTCCGACGCTCTCGCAGCCCTGACCCCGTCACCGCCGTCCCCGCGGCCCCGACCTCCTTCTCCGCGCCCGGGCTACCGCCACTGGCGATGTAATTCTCTTGCCCACGTCTGCTGGTACCGACGTGCCAGCCTCTCCTTTGGTGACTACCTAAACATGCAGCAGGTATTGAATATGAACGACTCGTGGTTCGGGTTTAACACGTAGGCTTCTGCGACCGATATATATATTTATCCGTTATTATGGAGCCGTAGCTAATCGTTTTGTTGACGTGGCAAATCTTACTAATTGGCTGTGTGTCGGGTGGCGGTGGGTTAACGGCACGTTTACACTTACGCGATCTAACCCGAAAGAATACCCTTCATTACGGATCGGTCATTCGCAGCCCCTTTGCCAATCCACTGCTTAGATGGTGAAGCCCATTGACGTCGCGTTGGTGTGAAGCAAGGAATGAACCTGGGCTCCAGTTTCCCCGTTTCTTCGCCCTTCCTCCCACTTTGGTAGCCTGCCGCCTGGTCTCATTTTGTTTTATACGTAGGTGGTGCCGCAACTCAAAGCTCCGCACGGATGGATTTCATCCTCGGGCAGATTCGAGTGCACGAGAACGAACAATAAAAAGCTGCCTCGGTGAATTCTGTCCACGAGGATTTGAATGAAACAGCAAAGTGCTGCGTGCGGATACAATAAAAATGTCCGCAGCGCAGCGATCTACCTGAATAATGTATGAATTGAAGCAACGTTCCAACTTTATAGAGCCCCGAGTTGCGTGGGGGATTTGCGCCCTGCGGATGTTGGGCACAGTCTTTCCGTCGAGTTCTTAGAGCCGTGTTCTATTGCCTGACTCGGTTACAACCACTCCTCTTAGGTCTGCAACTTTGCCCGCACGCGTTCGCAGCGAACACGTGCGAAAGCAAACCGAAACATTTGTTCGGTGTTCAGTCAGGGAACTAGGGTTGCAATAGTCTCTCGAGATGGCTTGTTGGACAAAATGCTCATGTTGGAATGTTGTCAATGTATTTCCGTACAAGATGAGCAACATACCTTATTTTTCTCCACGGAAAGCGGGAGGTACACAATGAGACGTTCAATGAGAATAATTGGAGAAGGGAACGTTAGATTTCTCGGACATGTTATGAGAAAACAAGACGTTGAATGTGCATGGATGTTGACTGGGAACATTAGAGGCACAAAATGCCGGTGAATAAAGTGATTAAGGCTGCAGAAGAAATTTGAACAATTGGATGCAACTGGGAGGGTGTCGTACGAATGTCTCGATAAATAGCGTGGAGCGAGGTTCATGGAAGAAGGCCATGATCTGTTTGAGAAGGGACGTGGCATGTAAACAGACACAGATATTTCACTACAGAAATGTCTTTCTCATAACTCTCTTTCAGGAGGGTCTTGCTAAGATGTAGCAGTAGGTGTGGGGGTGGGGGGGGTTGCGCAATTACTCAACGTTCCAATTTGACCAATTTGCAGGATAAACGTTTCTAATTTGGACCGTGACACCGGCGCGCGATGGCCACGATCTTGTCAATAGCGCCACGTGATCTGCAACGACCGCTGCGACAAACAGACGGTGCATTCATAAAAAAAAGACACCGACGATATTAATCATGGCTCCCCGCTGGATTCGAACCGTGACCTCTGCGGCGAGAGGCAAACGGCACCGCCCGCCCGCCGGTCCGCGTCGCCGCGACGAATTTAAGCGGCCGCGTGCCCGTAGGTTCAGCCCGTACGTTGGTATATTTCATCGTGGACGCGTGCGTTCGTGAAATTGCTAAGTGACAAACGTGAACCCGTAATAGCAGCTCGATTAGAAACAAAAGAAACGAACAAAGATAACTGTCCCGGTGTATAATCGCCCAGAATTCACCCCCACCCCCGATCTCATCAGATCTCAAGCTAAGCAGGGCCGCAGCCTGGACAGTGCATGGATGGTTGATCACAAAGCACGGAGAGGTTGTGGAAGTCCTGCATTGTGGGGGCGTCAAAAGGGCAGTGCTGCGAAATGTACCGTTGGAATGTACTTCTATGCTCCCACACCTCCTATGCTCCTCGCCTTCACCAAGCAGCCCTCGGCCAGCCGTGGTCAATGCAGCAATGGTGAAAGTAACGCTCCCGTGGCGCGCACGGAGTGGGGAGACTATCGTCCAACAGAGGATTGGCACAGGGACACCGCACGTGCGTACGTGCGTGCGTGCGCGATTCCTACATTGTAAGGTGATGCGCATCGTCGTCGACAGTCTTCGTTGTAGATCTCACGCCGGGTGGTCTTTGCTCTCTCTCTGCGCGTCCGTCAGAACCAGCTGTCTGGCTACCTCCTGAGAAAGTTCAAGAACAACAGCGGCTGGCAGAAACTCTGGGTCGTCTTCACCAACTTCTGCCTCTTCTTCTACAAAACTCACCAGGTGAGCGTAGATCTTCCCCGCGTGGGAAACGCTACGGGCCGCAGAGCGACCAGCTGGGGGCCCGCGCTCGTTCAACGGAGGAGAAACAGCAAAACCATTCTCGCTCTCGCTCTCTCCTGAAGCCATCTCTTGCCTAGCAGAGCTCAACGTTGGCATTTAGCTCCTGAACGTACTGCCAGTTTTACGCAGGAGTGGAATCGTCTCAAGGCAATGCTAGTCTACGGACCATACAGGAAACCACTGCAGCCTGCGCTCTGTCAACGGAGGGGGAACAGCAAAGCTGCACGGACTATCTCCTGCAGCCCTCTGCTGGCGAGCAGACCTCAACGTTGGCATTTAGCTCTAACACAAATACATCATCATACACATACATAGAATAGCGCATTAATACCAAATAATGCCAACGAATGGCGAATTTTTCGCCCAAAATAGTATTTTTCTCCGTTCTCTCTTCTCATTTACTGCATCCAGCATGTGTCGTCACCAAACATCATCACCACCAAGCATCACCACCAAGCATCATCATCACCAAACATCACCATCATCATCAACAATCATCATCATCATCACCAAACATCATCATCATCATCACCACCAAACACCATCATCATCACCAAACACCATCATCATCATCACCAAACATCACCATCATCATCACCAATCATCATCATCACCAAACATCATTATTAGCACCAAGCAGCATCATCATCAGAGCACTGGTCTCAAGACGCTCCACCTGAGGGCAGCATCGCTCAATGCTTACTTTGCTGCATCTCGTCTTCGCATATTTAAGCTACGCGTTCGGCACGAGGTCCGACGTTTCGCTCCACGCCCTGTGAGCGTCTTCGTGAAACGTCAAATTCAAGTTGCCCGAAGAAGTGCCCAGCATGGGTGTTTGTTCGGCCAGGATGCCCGACGTTTCGGTACGATCCGAAAACATATCAGAGAGTAGAACGGCACAACCGCGAGAAAAATAAAAACCGACTGGGTCGTGCCGCATCTCACCGTGGCGGTGACACGGCCCAGCGGTAGCGTGGTCGCCGATTGTTACAGAGGCTCCCAGCTCGACTCTGGCAGGCTGCCCTGGTTAACACTGCGTGACAATCGGCTCTGTCTGCTTGAGAGCGGACGTTCAAGATCCCGTGCCAATTTGCGTGCTGGCGCAGCGGTGCAAATTTTGTCGAAGTTGTAAAACTACCCGCGTACAGAACAGTATTTACATGAATTTCGATGTAAAGCTTTCGTGACTGCAGGGATTCATATTCTTGGTTCTTTCGGTAAAGTCACGTAGAAGAGAAACAATAAAATAATAAAAATATTAAACAATACAATTCTCACGACGTTTCGATTGCAACACAAGCAATCATCATCAGGTGTGAAAACCACAGCAATAACTTTTTTTTAAACCGCCATTTTATCTAATTTTCTTGCTGTGGTTTTCACACATGATGATGATTGCTTGTGTTGCAATCTAAACGTCGTGAGAATTTTATTGTGTCATATTTTTATTGTTTTATTGCTTCCTTCTACGTGACTTTACCGAAAAAACCAAGAATATAGTATTTACATAAATTTCATAAACACGTAACAATCGTCAGCCGCCGCCACCCTGATGTGACAACTTTGGAGGGACTCTCCTGAATAACAATCTCGAGACTCAAGTGACAATTCTCTGGTGTGGTGACAACAACAAGAATGCTCGCCTTGTCTCTCGCAGGACAACTTCCCCCTGGCCAGCCTGCCCGTGCTGGGCTACAGCATAACGCTGCCCTCCGAGTCAGATGGGATTCTAAAGGACTACGTCTTCAAGTTGCAGTTCAAGTCCCACATTTACTTCTTCAGGGCGGAGAGCGAGTACACGTTTGAGCGGTGAGACGTTTGACTGGGTGTCCCGCTTCGACCCTGGACGGTTCCTTCTTTCGCTCTTTCACCGCAATGAAGTGCCCGACTAAATCCGGTCACCCTCGCAGCGTCGGCTCTTGTGGCTGGGCCATCGAGCAAAGACGGTGGTCACCGCATCGTCGCGTGCGCTTTCAGATGCGCTTCTGCGGCCGTCTGGGATGCTCCTCCTTCTGATATTAGGAAGCCACTGGAGCTACAGTATTCACTTTTAGATCATCTGGATTGATAACTGGCTTTCTTGAGAACTGCGTTTTGTGTTTAGTTTGTTGTCCTTCCCCCGCACCTCTGATTGGCAGGGTGGGCTACGTACGGTGCGAAAGAAGTAAAAAATTAAAACGAAAATGGTTTGGAAAATTAATAGGAAGGATAATCGTGCATGAGCCCTTCCAACACACCTGTCCAATTCGTAAATACTTATCTGTGTAAATGTACAAATCCACTGCTGGATGAGAGCCTCCCCACGCCATGCGGTTGTTTGATCATACCACACCGTGCTGGTCAGTGAATACATACACGTGGAAGCAGAGAAGTAGGTTACAAGAATGGATTTTGCTGCGATGAATCAGGATCTTTATTTATCCTGGAGAAATCCAATGAGCTATGAAGCAATTTTTTGTTACAGATGCCCAACGATGCTTCTCTGCTGCCCATCACGCAGCCCCACAGTCCAAATATTAGTCCTTGATATTTTCCCCAAGCCCGTTAATGCATTCAGGATGTGGTGAGTGAAGTCTAAATTGTGTTAAGTTTACACGCTGACAGACTCAATCCAAGCAAAAGAGAGTTGTAATGATGAAGCCCATTGGACAATCAAAGAATCGCCAAACTGCAAATTGTGGTAAGGGGCCGTCCATAAATGACGTCACGCACCTAGGGGGGGGGTCAGACATTTGGGACGATGTGTGACGTCACATCTAAATGCGCAATTTTAAATAAATATAGACAACACGTTCTACATAATTAAATAGACTTTTAAATAAATGTTTTCTCCTACAACATCAGAGTACAGCGCCACATTAAATACGCACTTCAATGACAATAGTTTAAAGCGATTTGAAGCATGTTTTATTTTTTGGGGGGCGGGGGGGGCAGAGCTTTGTGACGTCATATTTGAGGGGGGGGTCTGACTTTTGTGATGCCGTGTGACGATGGGGGGGGGGGGGGGGGTTCAAAAATCGTCCAAAATCTCGTGACGTCATTTATGGACGGCCCCTAAAGCCCAAACCATCACTCGCATCAGCGCCACACACCGTTGCAGGTATCGTTACAATCCGTACAGCCAATGGCAGAGCCAGGATTTTCAGGTAGAGGGGAGGGGGCAACCCCTCCAGAAATGAAAAATGATAGAGGAGTTGTTAGTTAGTAAGGACTTGCCCCTTTTTCGATTTAAAGCTTTCGTGACTGCAGGGATTCATCTTCTTGGTTCTTTCGGTAAAGTCACGTAGAAGGGAAATAATAAAATAATAAAAATTATAATACTTTCATTTTATTTTTTATTTTTATTATTTTATTATTTCCCTTCTACGTGACTTTACCGAAAGAACCAAGAAGACTTGTCCCTTGCTTTTTATTCGACGGGTGTGCGTCGATGGCGCCCACACGCGGCAGCGTCACGCAGTGTGCCTGCTGACGTCACGCAGTGTGCCTGCTGACGTCACGCAGTGTGCCTGCTGACGTCACGCAGTGTGCCTGCTGACGTCACGCAGTGTGCCTGCTGACGTCACGCAGTGTGCCTGCTGACGTCACGCATCCCCCCCCCACCCTCCGCGTTGGCCGTGTATTAATCCAAGTATCGGGCGAATCCGGGTAGTAAAGCTAGTTAGTAATAAACCCCAATGATCCGATCGAAATGAGGGATTTCGATCGGATCATTGGGGGGGGGGGGGGGGGGCACGTGCCACCCCCCCTGGCTCCGCCAGTGCGTACGACGTCGACTGCCACCACCTTCGATAACGTTCAACTGTGACGTCATCTAGACCAGTGGTACTTAACCTTTACTGCAGCCTTGCACCCCATTTCGTTCTCAGTCGTTACATAAAAAAAATCATGTTAATGAATACATAGGGTTTAATGAAACAAAGTTGTTGTATTTATGTGCTCGTGTTCAATTAGTTTTTTTTTCGGTGATTTACCTTCTAAACATCTGGCTGTGTCTCGCACAACCCCAGAAAGGGAATCTCGCACCCCCAGGTTAAGGGTGCTTCAAAACAATGTTGACACTTTATATGGTGACTATCGTTTATAATGGAAAAAGAACGGATAATACTACACTGTAACATGATAACAAATGTATATTAATAGCGTCAAAGAGTCTCCACTTGATCACCATCATTGTCAACGCTTGGCCTGGAATCTTCTCCAGGTGGTCTCAAGAGCCCGGAGGCAAATTTCTCGTGATATTTTTGCAAATTCTGTGTTAACTTTTTTTAAAGCACCCTGTACAAGCTGTTGTCCCCCCCCCCCAACTCCCCATGCCACACGGCAGAAGAATTGTGAGATGATTGGAGACTTTTGCAAGAGACGACCGCGCGAGAGTAGCGAAACAATTCTCTTTTGGAAGATGGTAAAAGGTTACTCAATGTCCGTGCCTTAAACCAGGGCATTTTGTGTTGAGTTTCACGACCTGCTGGTGGCGATGTTTACACATCGCACCAGGTACTCATTTGAGGCTGAGTCGACCTAGGGGAGGCCCGGTACCGGTTCAGATAATCGTCACTGGTGTTCGCCGTGAGCGGGAATCGAACCTGGGCCGCCAGGTTCGTAGCGCAGCGCGCTAACCGCTACACTACACACACACGTACATGGGAGAGCCGTAGACAGGGACGATACGGTCACTGAGATGGACAAATAAATGCACGTGGGTGGTGAGCGACCTGGAGACAACAAGACACGTGCCAGATCGGTGGCCACGTGCCGAGACATCGGCGGGCCTGGGGGCAGCGCTGAACGGCCTCTACTGCCCACGAAGCCTATAGCACCTGTGTCACGCGTTTCGTGGCCGCAGACCTCTCAAGCACTGCCCGGGCTCCCAACGCTGCTTAGCTTCTGAAGGGGGTGGGGATGGTGGTGGTGGGGATTCATCGAGGCGAGGGACATTTGGGCCAGAGGCTCATGCGGAATTGATGAGTCCAAAAAGGCATTTCTAAAAAGCCACGGAGTTTTTACTGTAGTCTGGGTGAGTGTCACCCCCCCCCCCCCGAATCATTTTTTTTTCGGCCCAGGGCAGGGAGGGCCCACCTAAATTTTTAAAGTAAATTATTAATGAACGAGAATGTGCAGCGCAGCGTTAATTATCAACCCCGGGGAGCGATGCCGTCTATAGGGTAAAATACAAAGATGCCCCGTGTAGCCTTAACAGACTGTTGGGACAAGTGCTGTTAGCGAGCACCTATGAAAGCCGGCAAGATACACGATGGGGTGGGTGACCAGCACCACGCCTCACCGCATTTGTGTCCCCAGTGGCGATGTTTACACATCGCACCAGGTACTAATTTGAGGCTGAGTCGACCTAGGGGAGGCCCCATGGCCTGTTGAGATAATCGCCACTGGTGTTGGCCGTGAGCGGGAATCGAACTCGGGTCACCGGGTTCGTAGCGCAGCGTAGCGCTAACCGCTACACCACCGCTCCCCACATACAAAGACAAAGATCCCCTGTATAGCCTTAACAGACTGTAGGGGCAAGTGCTGTTAGCGAGCACCTATACATACGCACACACATATACACACAAGCAAAACTGCCTCTGTGCCGTCTCAAGATATCAATAAAAAACACAACACGCATGCCAATTACACGAATACAATCACTTTCTAGTCCATCGGCTTCTTGGCGTTACAGACAGAGCAATGTTATGCAGCAGCAGGAGCAGCGTTTGTTTAAGCGAGCAAAATCTTGGAGCACTGGGACCCTCTTGTTCTCTTCGGCTTTCCAGGCTCGTTAAACAAATGCTGCCGTGTTAGCGGATGTTTATTGGCAAGTGCACGCCATATAAACTTGGGGCCCCGCTAATAATGCGGCCGAGAGTACGATACCAGCTGTTCCCTCCAACCCGTTTCCCGATTGCCTCCTGCCGTGACCTGCAATTCGACTCTCTCTCTCCACCAAATCTAGATAACGCCTCTCTCGCTGCGGGTCCTCTGTGCGAGTCTTCGGGGGTTCTCTGTGGCTCTCTTTGCGAGCCTGTGCACCTCGATGCGAGTCTACGGGGACTCTGGTGGATTTTCACCGAATCGCCAATGAGCCCCGCCAAACGTCGAGACACATCTTCGCCGGCAAAGTCGCCTTCATCCGTAGACCCACGGACATCCAAGCAATCAATCCAAAATCAGTACTCCATCACGCAACCATTCCGAGGCGTCGTTTGGGCACTCTCCTCCGAGCAAGGCGAGTGCGTAAAATAACACGCGAGGCTCAACGCGTGTTTGTGTGGTTTTTTTTGACGACGACGAAATCGTGACTCCCACGCCAACAGAAACGCGAGCCGCCCTCGGCTGTCATGTCTAGACGCTCAAGGAGCTCCCCCACCACCAACGCCACCAGGATTATTTGCGGTTTGTTAGAATAGAAGTCTTCTTTTACGCTGACCAAGTCAACGCCCGCAGACAAACACGGGGCCTATTTTAAACCGCGCGGTGAACATGTCGCGTTGCTAGAGGAATGTCGCATTGACGACAATTAAGCATTAAAGACGGGGTCACGCATGGACTTTGCGCAGTTTCTCTGGAATTGGGAACAGGGGCACACACACCGCACAGATCTCTCGTGAAAGCCTCAACGGGCTGCAAGCGAAGGGATGTGTGGCCAACAGGTAACTCATTTAAGGCTGAGTCGATCTAGTGGGGGGGGGTGGGTGGCCCAGGAAAATCTCTGAAACGACTGCACATCTGTGGAAAAGAGCTTTATGGCTAATCGGGTTCATCCAATAACCACAAAAAAATATTCTGGAACGGTTCGGACATTTGTCACCGGCTGCTAGCTGTGAGCGGGAATCGAACTCGGTTCGCCGGGTTCGTAGCGCAATGCGTTAACGACGGCGCCACCGTCACGCACACACACACACACGCGAACCACACGTGTGTGTGTGTGTGCGTGTGGGGAAATGTTTTAATTGCAGGGCGTTGGCCGCATATGCGATTACCACCGCGCGCGCGCGCCGTAAAAGTCCACGTCGGAATTCTAACAAGCGGCCACATTCTAAGCTGGGCTGGGCTTGAGCTTGGGCTTTTTGAGAGGTTTCCAAGAGAGAGAGAGAAGTGGGGGGGGGGGGGTGAAGAGAAGGCCCCGATTGTTAAGTGGAAACAGCTTGGCGCGGATGTGTGAAGGCGTGCCCGTGCCCACGGAGGATGCCCGTCGCAAGGGCGCTCCACGGGAGGAAGTAGTTTCGTGGCGAGTCAAGCATGTCCGAAAGAGAGAGTCTTTCTGTCATGCGGAGAAAACTCTCTGACGTGGAGAGTCCGTCTCTGATGCGGAGCGTGAACTCGGCACCGTGGCCCCATCGTTTTCCCTGAGTGCACGACGCACAGACTCTGTGCAGTACAACACCTTTGCCTGGCAACCAAAATGATGGAAACTGCTAAGCAGGTTTTGGTTGGGTTCTTGGGTGCGCGACCTTCATCTCTAAAGCAGGGACTGTGTCCAGCTGCTGCCGGGCTACAAGGTGAACAGCGGAGGACAGCGCAGCAACATACCACCATTGTTGTACTCTACTCCTGCGCTCCTCCACCAACGGATGGCTCCCCCCCCCCCGCTTTCAACAAACCATGCAACGGGACAGCCGCGTTGCATTGTCACACGACCGCCAACTGCCCACGTGGCGTGGCCCTCATCCAGCAGTGGATTGACAAAAGAAAGAGGGGCTGCTGTACACATATGTACACACACGCGTACCGTGCGCGTATGTAAGCGGGCATCTTTACAGTGAGCCCGGCAAGGATAACGTCGCGTTAAACTTTCGAGAATGCTGTCGAATGAAATCGCAGACGATTCCGTGTGCCCCTTTAGGACTTGAAACAGCGACGCCTTTGCCCGTGTTCACGAGCTCACCGGCTCTCTCTGACTCTGAACGTGATGTCGCAACGCGCTTTGTGAGCCTGCTACTGTCAAGCCTCTTTTTAAATCCTTTATATTAAGTTCGCGTGCTTGCTTGCTTGCTTAGGACCGTGCAAATCTTTCGGTCGTTTTTTAACCCACTTCCCGTGATCCAATCGAGCTGACATTTTCCACACAGACTCGTTGTGCCAGACAATTATTGTTTGTGAAAAAAAATTCCCAAAATTTTACACTTTTTAGGCAAAAAAATTTTATTTTACATATATTCAAATAGAACTCATTCATGGCTTTGGCTGAACGTCAGAGTGTAAGAGCCCAGAGCGTAACCCCTCCACAGGCCGTGGCGGAGTAGCGCAGTTGGTAGCGCCCTCGCTTCCCATGCCAAAGGTCGCGGGATCGATCCCCGCGTCTTCCACAGGCGAATATATTTTTAAATCCTTTATATTAAGTTCGCTGCCACGCATATAAAGGATTTATAGTGAAAAACTTTGTTTTTACGGGTTATACTTATTGTGGGTTTTGTTTCCATTGAGGTCAGTAATGCCCAGGGGATTGACCTGGCAAAGCCAGATGTACAATGCTATGCTGAAAACCTACATCGTAAACGGTCAGTGTGTGATGTGGTGGCTGATGTTTTCCATCTCGTAACGCCAGTCCGCCCCACCCTTGTGGTTTCACGAAAGTCATCCCACGTGGACGGTGATTAAAACAGAAGAGAGAGAGCTGTGGAGGGGGCACAACTAAAACGGTCCAAAGGAAACGATAACTTTGACATCCAGAAGGCGAACTGAGCACTGCGGCCAAGACCGGTGGAGCGACCAAAATTGAATCCAGATCGTTTGACAAGACCGCGCATGTCAGAAAAGCTTAGCGGGTGAGAACATCGCTAACTCGCAGGGTGTGTAAGCCAGATCGTAATAATCCTCGGTCGGGGGAATGATTTGTGCCAGCCGCGAGAGACGTTATGGCGACGCCATCCACGTCTAATAAGCACATGGGCCACTGAAAGGGCTGAGATCAAACCGAACGCACAATGAACTGGTGGCGGGTCACTGCCCGCCCCCCAAACAAACCGGCTTCACTCACAAAGCCAAGGTATAACATGTGGACAAAATTTCGATTTAAAGCTTTCGTGACTGCAGGGATTCATCGTCTTGGTTCTTTCGGTAAAGTCACGTAGAAGGGAAATAACGTCGTGAGAATTATTTTATCATGTTTTATTTTTATTATTTTATTATTTCCCTTCTACGTGACTTTACCGAAAGAACCAAGAAGATGTGGACAAAACACAAGGGGCAGTACAGCGGTGATATCAGTGCAGCGGTGATATCAGTGCAGCGGTGATAGTGCAGCGGTGATATCATTGCAGCTCGGTCCTGGCCAAAGCTATTTCGGTAACATAACAATGCATTAGTTCAAGTGCTCACTATTTTGCGTGCAATAAAAACAACTGTAGTCCAGAAATGCAGTTATTAAAGCGCAAACTATTGGACGCTTATATTCGTAATAAGGGGTGCGTTGGCCTAAGTTGTATTGTAGACGACAAGAGGTGGGCTTCGGTGCATGTGGTAAATTAGTGGACGGTTCCAACTTAGACGAGTTCTTGTGGCCAACATTTCACAATGTTCACTTTCTCTTCTCGACACGGCTTGAACCTTCAATTACGGATCGATTGCAGTTTCCATGCATGGAATGCACAACGGCTCTCAGTGTTGGTTATTAGAGACACGAACATCGGCCCTGGCTATTGCTCTGTATCATCATCATCATCATTGTGGCAAAGTGGGTGCATTCTTGACGGCAGGGAGATTTAAGTGAGGGTTACACCGACATTCTGCCCACAACCGTGTGTACAGTAACGCAACACTTTTGTCAATACTGCCCTGAAGAGCACATTCATAGCACGTTTTAAGTTATATAATAGGCGACGTTACGGGCAATGGACCTTCTTAATAATTGCAGAGGCTAGCAATAACAGAGAAGGGCCATTTCCAGAAACGTTGCCTATTATATAATCTTCCCTCTTCGGGGTAGTACTGTTGGCGATTGCGTTTGGAGCTTATATTATTCCAGCTTTGCGCACGACTGCAAAAGACAAAGATCTCCCGTGTAGCCTGTAAAAGACTGTAGGGGCAAGTGCTGTTAGCGAGCACCTATGAAGGCCGGAACGGCACACGAGGGAGCGGGTGGCTAGCACCACGCCCGGCCGCCTTTGTCTCCCCAGTGGCGATGTTTACTACACACCGCACCAGATCAGTGCCGGATTATCCGAGTAGCAGAAGTCGTTACATAAGTAGTAGCTACACATGTAGTAGCTACATATGCTACGGCCCCGCACTTTCAAGGGCCCCACGCTAAATGCTTTAAGGCTATCAATTCCGGTTCAGTGATTCTGCACTTGATATATTACTATAGTACTATACTGCCTTAAACTTTTACGAATGACTGGGTGTTTAAGGTTAGCTATTTGTCGTATTTTCTGGCTGTATTGCAAATGAAAACATACAATTACTTTACTATGCAAGTAAAAAATGTGTGTTTTAATATTTACGTTATTTTATTTCGGGCCTCTTTATAACAACGTATGCTACAGGCCCCGCACTAGCTTCATCCGGCACTGCACCAGATACTAATTTGAGGCCGAGTCGACCTCGAGGAGGCCCGGGACCGGTTCAGATAATCGCCACTGGTGTTGGCCGTGAGCGGGAATCGAACTCGGGTCACCGGGTTCGTAGCGCAGCATAGCGGTAACCACTACACTATCGCTCCCCACATACGCACACAAGCAAAACTGCACGACTTTTAACGCAGTGTCACACGCGTTTTTGCTTGTGTGCAACAACACGCTCCTGCAAGCCATCGGGCGTGCAAATGGCCTAAGTGTCACTTCAATGTTGGTTCAAAGGGACCCCCCCCCATCCTCCTGCTTTGTGATTTGTGTGAGCGTTGCGTGTTCCGGGCCGGCCCATCAGGAGGTCAACCCCCCCCCCCCTCCTCGCCCTCAACCCTCTGTCCCTCTTAAAGGTGCACGGTCCCATCTCTTGCAGATGGATGGAGGTCATTCGCAGCGCCACCAGCTCGTCCGCGAGGACGCGTCTGCTCAGCCGCAAAGACTCGCATTTCACATAGAGAGAGAGAGAGCGAGAGAGGCGAAGAGTGTGACACGACCTGGAGGAGAGACAGCGTGGCCGCAAATATCGACGCCTTGCTGCCAACTTGTGCCACTCAACGGAAGTCTCAAGACCCCCTAACGGACTCGTCTAACCACGCGCGCGTTGTAGGCTCACGGTGATGCCATCACCCCTTTAACCCCCTCCCCCCTCGATCTCGGTTCAAGAGCGGAAGCAGGAGGACTTTCTTCACAATTCCGGCAAATCGCCCGATGAAGCTGGTCGTTGTAATCGCCAGCGAAACGTCGTTCGCTCTCAATTTTAAATGTCGTGGGGGTTTTACTTTGCAACACACAAGCGGTGTGCTGAAGTCGCAACAACATCGGCACGTTGTGTTTACGTGACAACGCCTTACTAATTCGCTGTGTCGGGTGGTGGTGGGTAAACGACACGTTTACATTTACGCAATCGAACCCATAAAACCATTATTACCCTAGCGAGTCTCACCGGAGGCGGTGAGTGTGTTGGGCAGGGGTGGGGTTTGTGGTAGAAGAGAGACGGGGATGATAACACTAACAAAAAAAATCGCCATTTTTTTTGTTCCTGGGTAGTAAGTGTTATTTTCCAATTGTTTATGCCTCAAAAGTACAGAAAATGGCTCATTATTCAACGCAAACTTTACTTTTGTGACCAGGACAGTGCTATTTTGAAATGTAACTATTTTCAATGAGAAAACGTGGTGCGCATTTGTGTCATTCCTTCACACAAAGTCCTGGCCACAAAAGCAAAGTTTGTGGGGAATAATAGCCATTTTCCAAACTTTTGAGGCATTAGCAATTAGAAAATAACACTTACTGTACTACCCAGGAACAAAAATCGTGTTACACAGTGTAACCCAAACCTCACTTTAGTTCCCACCAACACTACAAATTCCCGTGGAAGCCATCGACCCTGTTTTGAAGCGTAATCTACGAGCTTAACACAACACATATGCAAACGATCATAATGCGCTATCGAGTTCTAAAAGAGCAATTGCTCGGTTGGACATTCGCTGCAGCCGAAGCTGTCGTGGGTTAGAGAGCGATCGTGTTCATCCCGAGGCAGGGATTCAAACCCTCGTCCGCTCGCTCCAGCCACATCGCGTCCCCATCCCCTCGGCTAGAGCTCCTCCACGCAAACAGACGGCCACTTTACTTCTACAGAATGGCCCGTGATCCTGGCCCCATCTGCCACACACCCACCATGGAGTCAACTTAGCCCAACACCCACCAGCCCACCCCCGAAAGTGTAAAACTAGATTTTAGTACTCACACGATGAGCGAGTACTAAAATCGAACTCGGTTCGTTGCGCGGCGAGTTTCACCGTGACACTCCCCAAACACACAAGCGCGCACACAGACACACATAGACACATACAAAGACACACGCATACACATACACATGAGATGACGGTTACATCATTACAGTTTCAGCTGTATTGCTTTTTGGCTTTCGAGGTGTTGTGTAACTGGCCAGTCCTACCCTCGTCTTTTTTTTGCTTTGCTGTTTTCGTTTTGCACGGATGTACGAATTAGCACGCTGGCTAACGGTCAAATGCCAAATCAATTTACTGCCCGAATGATCATTGCTCATCTCCGGTTTACAGCCTTAAACCAGTGGTGTAAAAATACCATATGGCGAAGGCAAGTCTTCTCCATGTGAGAACCAACCGCTGACCTCTCCACAACAAAGTTTGGTACTCGTGTCGACCCCGGAGGGGTGATGGGCTATAAATGAACTCCCCAAACCAGGATTTGAACTCGCAAACTTCCGACGGCCTGGTCGAGTAGCCGCGCGCTCTTCTGCTAAGCCACTCGGGTCAACACGTCCACTTGAAATACTAAAGTATTCGGACGCTACACAAATCAAATCGTCATTTCATATTGCCATACGTCAAGGCAATGCCACCCTGTACGCACACGTGGGGGAGTGGGGGGGGGGGTGCAGCACTTGCAGCTGTTGGAGCAGCTCGTGTTCACAAAGCAACGTCTCTGGCACGTTCACTTCCCTGGCACCAACGCGGTGGTCGCCGTTTAGTGGATACTGGGAAACGTGAACGCGGAATGCAGCCAGGCATGACGCGAGCCACACCACACCACCCGCCCCACCCACCCCTCCTCCTCCTCCGTGTGTGCCGGACCATGAAATGAGTTCTCACCGATGGCACTTGCCTCCACCACCACCCTCGTTTTGGAGTGCCGAGGCACGCGAACCGTTACCGTTATCGATAGGGCCAATCTGTGTTCCCCGCAGAACGTGGTCTTTGGGTGACGGTCGTAGAAATAAAAAGCGGTCAACGCGAGGAGGAGCGTTAAGAACAAATGGTGACTTTGGCCATGTGCACAATGGTTAACACGCTCGTTACGTGACGGTGATTAGTTCATGTAGAGCGCACCCCTGCAGCCGACTTGCAGCTTGTGTTGGCAAAAAAATTTCGCAGCGTTTCGAGGTTATTATTTTTTTTGCAACTTAAACAAGAGCTATATGAATGTTAATAATACAGAACAGTATTTCAATCTTTTTTTTACAAATATTGTTTGCATTTCTCAAACTCTATGGGCAGAAAGTCAGTAGGTGTACACTGCAATGTGTTGTCACTTGCTTCCACTTCCCTCTATCCTGTGCCAACATGCTGAGGCTATGCCACATATCTCTTGCACCAATCTCTTATGTCATCCAGCCATTTTCTTCCTCTTCTTCCAGTTCCCTCCCAATAGTTTTTTTTACATTTTCCTGTTGTTCTCCATCCTGCATGGTGCCCAAACAAGCGGTTTCCCCTTCTTATGTTCAGCCATTTCTCGTACGAAAAAATATCTACGTAGTTGCAAACGTAGGACTAGTTACCAACCTACTTTTAATCCGACTGAGTGCTCTTTTTGTAATAAGCCTTTGCGGACTAAGAAAATTGGAGATTTCTTTTCAGTCCGTTGAATGAAATGCCATTTCAAGTCACATTATATTTTAAAAATCCATTACTTTAACTTACAATTTACTAAACAGCAGCCGTGTTATCAGATTTTTTTCTTCCACAAATATAACCATCACAACTCCCATTCAAACCTTTGCAAACACAAATCGGGCTACCATCTTCTTTAGAGACACAGCACTTTATAATTTATGGCAAGGACAGACAATACCATGGCTGTTTTTAAACGGGCCAGAAATGACCAATATCAAATGCGGTGTCGAAATCGCTCAAAAAAGTTAGTGGACTTTTCAATGTTTAATCATTAAATGGGAAAAGCGTCGGATTGCTTGCAATGTTAAGCTGGTATATTGCGGTACTTACATTAACTGTTTTTTTAAAGCTAATCCTTTGCAATCGTGTCAGCCTTGCAGTCATTTAATGCAAGCGCGTGCATTTGATTAATCTGCAAAAATGTAAATACAACCACTCATGGATATTTTATGCATTTCATTAATAAGCTTAAGTGGTTGTATTTACAATTAAGACTGCTCGTTTTTTTCCAAGCACACGTTGCCATTAATAAACTATGCAACACATTTTATTCGGAGTCGGTATCAACTTAATTTGTGCGGCATTGTATAAATGAAACCATATCTTCGTGAAGTGTTACCGTGAATATTAATCGAGTGCATCTCTGACAGGGTGTACTCCCATTTAAATTCCACGCGTGCGTGCGGCCCAAACGACCGCATTTAATTACCGCCTTCAACTAGGCACATTTGAAATTCCAAACTCGATGAATGAAGTTGCACTTTTGTGTCAGAAAATCTCAAGTATTCCTTTTCCAACCTCATACAGCATTTATATATTACCTCCAGCCATCATCTATAAAGATATGACAACCATTAGCCAGGGCTTCAAAAATGTAAGTTTATGTGAAGTGCATAAATAATCTTAGCACATCCACAAGTTCATTTCAACTACTGTACCGCATGTTTGGCAATTAACAAAAAAAACACACGTTCGGATGTATTTGCTAAACCAGAGTAAAAATATATAAACAACGCCAAGAGTAGCATAGCATCTTTGTAAAAGAATCATTTTTATTGTATATTGTACCTTGTGGTGAAATTGGTAACGGGTGAGCTTGATTAAAATTTACACAACAAAAAAATACAATTTGGCCAGTTGAAGCATTCAATGTCTCAATCCCCACACCAACAAAGCTCTTCCATAAATAAACCTTCGATGGGCACTTTCACAATGTGATCATTGCACCCAAAGGCTGCCTCCCCATTCCCGGAGCGCTGATGGATGCTGTATTGTTCAACCTCAGAAACGACCTAGAGGTGTTTCCCAAAGCATAGAAATTAACTTAAAATTGTACCATACAGTGTACTGAAAATAAAAGTGGAAATGCATACCACGCGCCTCGCCTATGCCAGGAGCGATAGAGTCCAACCACAGCAGTGCTGCTTTCCCAACCTTTTCTGAACCCGAGGACCATTGCCGACCCCCACACTAAATTTGTACGGACCACAAAAAACTCCACGTTGTTGTGAAAAAACTAAAATATCTGCTAACAGTTCCACGGTCCACTTTGCCATGGCCTGTCGGAGTAGCATCAGTGTGGTTAGCGGCACCACAAGGTTGGGAAAACCACTCCTCGAGCATCCGCCAGTCTGCCGTTTTTGTTACTCGGGCGCAAAAAAGTTGAACGCTCTAGGCTATGCCAAATTTGCGGTGAAATATTTGTTTTATTCAACGGGAAATAAATGCAAAGGGCTAATGTTAAATTGACCTCGTTATAGTGCAACTTAACTATTAAAACCCCCTTGAGACTGGTGTTAGACCATCACCTTTTTGGGGGTGTTGCTATTTTTTTTATTTCATGTGGATTAAAATAGGTTACATGTTTAAATCAAGACTCTTGGGTCAAAATAGCTACATTTTCTTACACAACAAAACAATTTTTCAAATGACAAAACTTTTAAGTGTTCAGAGTTAATGTCATAATAAAGCGAACCACCCATTCATCCACCCTATCTTCCCCCGCCCCCCCCCCCCCCCATAAAATAAATGCACTATGTATACTGCGTCAGTTTTTTAACCAGAACTAAACAAAAAGTAACTCTACATTTCCTTTACGGTTGCAGGGCATATAAAGACTCTTGTTTAGGCTGATTAGAGCATGAGTAATTCTGCGTTTTCTAAAAGGGGAAGCACCTTTGGACAGGATGAAACTACATTTGCCATTTAAAGTCTGAAAAACTGGCAAATTACCCTTAAGAGGTGGGCTTCGAACTCTTAAAGAACAATATATATATTTTTTCTCTCTCTCTCTTTAAATCCGGCAGACGCCAACAATCTTGTTCAAGTGCCCAGGGCTCACCAAGAGATGGAGACAGGAGAGGAAAAATAAAACTCTACGATGGCCTCGTCGCACTACGATTACTTCCGTCCCAAGGCCAACCACAAGCGTCAAGAAGGGCCCGTCGGAAACCAATAAGGCAACGGCCAACTTGAGCTCCAACAGCCAATCGGAGCTGGTCTTGCTTGGGAAGGGGAAATAAAAAAAAGTTATAACGTCATCAAAACGAGAACAGCCCCTTGTGTATGGCCTTTCCCCCCCACCACCTCCTATCGTTTTCATAATTTGGTCAAACCGGTACTGTCTGTACGTAGCAATCCAGGCAGACCCAGCGAATTAAAAGTTAAAATATTCATGCACGCTTTCGTTTTGTCTCCAGCGACAGAGGTTTGCGCCCGTCACATGCCAGGTGCGTGGGCCAGGGCGGGTGACGGGGGGGGGGGTGATAATTTATTGCGCTCTCATCACATGGCGAGCCTTGGGTTCAAGGCCACACATTGGGGGCACGGAAAAGGAAGATAGCCACTTGGCAAACCCGCTGTGAAATGCAAGCCATCAACTTTAACATGCCACCAGTGTTCCAATACTGTACACCATTATGTTACACCGCATACATTTTTTTAACTCTCTGCTGATATGGCAAACGTGTAATGAATATTAGCCTACAAAGTGTAATTTTTTTTTCTATTTTTTTCTTTTTTTTGTAAAGCAGAATATATGTATTGAAACTGCCGAAAATAACCCCTACACAAAAATATGTTCACGTAATCATATACCTCATATACACAAGGAAACAAAAGTAATCTGATCAGCATACAAAGTACAGTAAATCTAGAAAAAAATACTAACGATGAGTGAGTTGATGTGATGGGTCACATGGCAAGATTTACCTGTTACTGGCTACCAGCCCTGATTTGCATATTTACACTTCAACCTATGCATGTGTTCATGTACATTTTTTACCTACAGTTTTACATGAAACTGACCGTTTGTTAAATAGAAAATCAGGTTCTAGGGCACAGTTGATTAGATGACTTAATAACATCACTAATTGCTAGATTATATTTTATCAGAAAATTATGTCTTGTTTCGCATGCTGAGTGATTAGGCAAATTACCTTACAATGGGCAAACAATGCATTGTAGGATGCATTAGTTATTTTTAGGTGTTTCTATTCTTCGATTAATATTAGGAATGCGAAGATTCACATTAAATTGTTACAAACTTTAAAGTACCCAAGAACATATTTTTATTAATGGTCTGACCACATTGAAAAGCACAGGCGCATGCTTTTTTTTATTTAAATAAAGAACCATTTTTACATACTTGTTTTATTAACTTATGAAGGGATTATTCTAGCATATACCCAAGAGCAGAGAATTTAATCAGTGGGAAAGAAAATGTGATTTACGAGTATTTGAAAAAAGAAAAAGTACATATATACACATTTTAATATACTGCTATCAGATTATTTGCTTAACGAGAGTAAATGTTAAATAAGCACGTGGTGGAAAATGACCCATCAGCTCTGTAAAGTGTGTCATCACAAATAATGGGGCTGGTGCCAGTTTGTGCCAAATCTCAAAAGACGTCGTCGTTGTTGGTGCTATTTTACACAAGAATAGAAGTTTGTCCTGCCACTATTTGTTTTGTTTATCTCTGCACACTCACTCCATTCGCACTTGCACGCACGCACGCCTGCATGCTCCAAACAATTCTCCCTCTCTATAACACCACCCTGGCCGGCACAGGCACTGTTGACACCTGTCCCCCCCTTTCAACAACAAAAACACATGCCTTAATTTTTTTTATACAGGATCGAACGTCACAAGTCCCCGTTTCATGATGGCATTCCCCAGGTTCTTACGGTCGGTCACAGCCACCACCCCCCCCTCATCCGCGTCACTGAGCTGGAGATGCTCCTGCGGTATTCGAAGAAAATCTGTTGAAAACAGGCACGCACACAGGAAGGACACGTCATTATTCACTGCGTCGACCTTAGCGCCACATCTCTTCCGAGTCGCTGTCATGTAAAGATGGTAAAGGCCAAAGGCGATCCTGCAAAAAAAGTCACTTAGTGCAAATATTCAGCGACGGAGAGAGCGCTAATGCGCAAGCTCACGAAGTAAAAGCCACACCCCAACTTGTACACTCAGTTGTGGTTATATCATTTGCAGTTCCACAGTACATCTCTCTGCACATACGATCATTGGCTACCAAGAATGTCTGCGTGAAAACACACCCAAGCAACTGCCAGCCTTATTCCCCGAGGTCTATATTTAGGCGAATCCAGACAAGTTACTCACCACGCCATCTTAACATAAATCTACGCTGCATGCGATGATCTATGCCGCAAATTTAGCTAGCATATATTTATATACACACACGCCTATGATCATAATCTCCAGAATGTGCCCATTCGTTGTAAATAGATAAGTAGTTTTTGGCTTGGATAATGGTTGTATAGGTGCCCATCATGCATAACAGGAGTTACAAGATGAGGGATTACATTTTGGGCAGTTTTGCTAAATCATTGTACTATAATTCTATGCTCCCCGCCTTCACCAATGCGCACTGACCAGCGTGGTGAAGTGTTGTTAAATCATGATGAGGGTGGTGCTCATCCAGCAGTGGGATTGACAGAAGGACTGTACATGTACATGTGAAGCCACAAGATATTTCTAAACGAAAAACATTCGAAACATCCATCGGTGCATATACACGTTTCTGGTGGCTGCAAGTGTCGGGCTTCATCTCAATACCTTCTGACTCTGTCAACAAGCTGGGAGATAAGTCGGTCGGATATGCCAGGACAAGCTTCCTCGGCCAGACCGAAGGCATTCTCAAGCTCCTCCACTGCCAACACATTCTTTCCGCTGCTTCTGTGCTTTTCCTTCAGCTGTGGGAGGCAACGGAGAAACTACGGTCAAACAGCGGCTTACAAGAAATTCACTTGTCCGGAGGCATCACGAGGCAGGACCCAAATGGATTTCACTGAAGGGCTTGAAGAGGTGGTTTGTGTCCTTGAACCAAAATTCGATCCACTCGCTGCACATGGCAATTTCTTTTTGAGCTTCAAATTTAAGTCTGCTCATGTAAATGTGAAGGTCAAGGGGGTAATGTGTGCCAGACTGACTGTTTTGTCTCTTCCGTACTGTGCACGACCACCACAGTGCAGGTCACAACAACACACCCATACACTAAACAATTATTTTTTTCAAATTTCATCAGGTAAGGCCCACTGAGCTATATAGCCTCTTTTTCACAAGCGACCTGGGAGACAAATGATAGCTCAACGAGTTTCCCAGTGGATGCATGGATTTTTTATCCGGATCCTCCGGTTTTCCCCTCCACATTTAGAATCAAAGTGCGCTTAGAGTATTTGGCTGCTATAAACTTCCACGTGAAAGAGGCACTTTGTTGAGCTATCATTTGCTGCCATGTCGCTTCTGAAAAAAATCTGCATAGCTCAGTGGCGGGACTTACCTCGGTAAAATTAATAGAATAAAGGTGTCTGCAGTGGCGACAGCTGAAGGGAGAGGAAGAGCAGCAGAGCAGTGCGTTTCAGAGGGGAATCAGGAGATGTGAGACTTACTGCAGAGCGGACGGCGTGCGGGATGGGAGTGCGAGACGGCACCGGAGGGGTAAGGCAGGGGAGCGCGTGCGTGGAGAATCTTAGAAGGCGGTGCGCGGGTGGCTTACTTAATGCGATGCTCTCACCTCTGCAAAGAGCGGGTCGATTAACGTGGCCAAGCACTGTGATTTCTGCTGCTGCTGCACAACTGGTTTTTCAACCTGGGAGGGTGTTCACATGGAAGCAAACATTTTTTACAAAACAAGTATTGACAAATTACTTCTCTTCTTTCCGAATTACAATATCCACCGATTGTGCTATCAGCATCGTGCAACGAGACAGACATTTCCAAATGAAACACTCACAGCTATTAGTTCATCACCCTGTTCCACTCAAGGGCAATGGAAGGTATCATATAACCACTTCTGAAGATAACTTTATCCACATGAACAGCACAGATTTGTATACCCTGCAAAGGTGATCATTAATAGAATATTAATTTAACCTATAGGTTTCATTCTCAAGGTTGGAATAAGCCAAGTTAAATGAAAAAATTCAATTTGATGCAATGGGTTTTTCATGCAATCATTGGTTACAGGGCAATGACAATCAGCACGATACTTGAGTACAGGATTTAATCAGAAGTTGCTGCCCAGATTCAAGCCCAAGATAGCATCGGTGCCAGCTCAGTGTTCCGACCCCTTAAGCCATCTGGGCCACCTTGATACGCAAGCTCTCTAAGCAGCTTCACATAAGTGTCCACTACATTGGGCTTTGCTACCCTGGTCACACCGTGATGCTGTTTCCGCAACGATTTTTGGATCCGCTCATTCTGGATGGCACAGTGCGGGCGACTGGAGATGTGACAATGCCAGCAGCGCATGAGAGTCCACACACGGCTTCCATTGGTCACATGGGCTGTGACATAGCCTGGCGGTAGCGCATTCCTTGCTTGTTGCACAGGATCATGGTTCGATTCCAGTGGCCGCCTTTATTATTACTGCGTTGTGTATTAACCATAAATTAGGAAGCCCCATCTGCTTCACAGCGGACGTTAAAGATCCCCCCCCAGTGGCCAGACCTAAATTGGGCCACCTTAAACATTTTCCGCAAATTTCTAAATAGGAATTATGCGTAGCAATCATTGCCCCCTAAAATAAAGTTGCGATACTCCATTTTATTTGTTTGTCGTTTCGGCGAACCATGCCACTGTTGCAATTAAACTATCCTGGTCGAGTTCTCACCCAGTCAAACAGAATACACTTGAAACTTGATTGTCAAACAAGTGCCTCTGAGGTGGCATCGCATCACTACATGTGCTCCCTACCCACTCCTGGATCGTCGCTGTCCTTCCAATAGCAAAATATGATACACTATGAGAATAGGTTTTCCTCTTTTTTCTGGCAACAAAACAGACGTTAAGATATTAAAACACCAAACTGAAACCTTTTACAAGGAATCATGTGTGCATTAACCACAATACTTGTGGTCAGAATGCAAACAAAAAACGTACTCCGATAATATATGCATTGTCTTTGAAACTGATTGGTCCACACCAGAGACAGCTTTCTTTTGAGCCTAGTTTCAAAATGGTGTTAGACCAGAGGATGCCAAAAGGCATACAGACCAAAGACAAGCATTATCAGAGTAATGAGAGCTCGGGGTGAGTAGCTACATCATGGGACCTCCTTTGCCAGTGGTCAGAATCTGACCACAAGTATTGTGGTTAATGCAGACATGATTCCTTGTAAAAGGTTTTAGTTTGGTGTTTTAACATCTTAACACACCTGTTTTGTTGCCAGAAAAAAGGGGAAAACCGATTCTCATATTTTGGTACTGGCAAAGGAGCTCCCATGATAATACACTATTTTATGTGCCATTGGTGCATATGTACAACTTGCATACACACATGTGATGCATAATACATAAGTAATACATTATATATATGCACACATGGGGGCCAGTCAAGGTGCAGTGGTTAGTACACTGCGTGAAAAGCCTGACGACCTCGGCTTCCGATTTCTAGTCATGGCTAACGTCAGTGACGAATGATATCTCAACTGAATCTGGGGGCTCCCTCTTTCACCAAAGCCACAATGACCAGCGTGGTGAGGAACGGTGAATTCCATCTACCAACATGGAATTTAAAATGCATGGTATTTTCAAATTGTCAGGCTCCCCCATGGTGTCAAGTGCAGTCTACAATTCTTCTCCACTCTTTCTCTCTGTGCTGGGAAAGGGTCATTGACGGAAAACGTCACCGATTATATATTTCCCCTTTTAAGACGGTGTTATGTCAATGTTGAATGTGACGAGTTTTTGTTGTTGTTTGAATATGGCATGGGGAGGACTTCATCCAGCAGAGGATTGACAGGGGTCTGTACATTATTTGTTTAGCATGTAATACAGAATCAAGGTGTGGTCTTAATAGGCATGGGTTTAAATACAGTAACGGTAGTAAGGTAGCATGAAGGAGTTTTACTGTTCAGAAAATTACAAGGCCTCTTAATAGAGATCCAGGCAAGAAACAAAAAATGTAGCCAATTTAAAATAAACACGGTTGTCGATTTTAACAATGACTTTGCAAGCTTGACGTCATAAATATAACTTTTTTGCTGCATTGCACAGCTCTCTGGTGTAAATGTGTATTTAATATTACTGCACGCATATATATTGCTTATTTACCTGCAGCTATATATCTATTTTTTTATTTGTCCATACGTGAAACCAATAATTCTTAAGAGCTCATACTTCAATATTGATTTTGCCCCTCAACTTGAGTTTAATATTGTACAATGTGTCCTGAACAGCTTTAAAGTTCAATAGCTGTTACATGTAACGTGCATGACCTAACTAAACTTCATTTTCATTCCAAGTGTTTTTTTTTTTATCGGTGGGAAGCACAAATGGAGGTCAAAAACATTGAAGAATGAGAAACAGTACAAGTCTGAGCTATTTTGAGGTCTAAATTGAAGATGCACAAATATGTCATTAAACAGACTAAGTGCACTGGGAGGGGAAATGATTCTAAAAAAAAGTCTAGTAATGGGAAACTGTTATTCTAAACATTGCCATTCTTAAAACTTTTTAGCCATGCCCTGTCGCTCACAATCTCTAAGTTTCGCCGCTAATGTCATCACCGACGTGAAGCTGTAAACAAGCTAATGCACCCCAGAAGCATGCCTTAACAAAACAGAGCAAAAAAAGTTAGTTTGAAAAATAAGTCATCATGGCTACACAGGTTTGCCTATTGAACATTCACATGAAATGCGTTAATTTATAATATAACCAAATCACCTAAATTGAGGCTGATATTCGAAGCCAAGCCTGGATAATGCTTTCGTGGGTGACCACCGTAGATTAAACAGCTGTTATAAGCCACGAGACTATGATGATGCAGGCAACAGAACGCAGGGTGCAGCAAAATACATTATCGTACTGGACTATTAATGCCCTCACGTTCATGATAATCCTTCTACACCAACCCGCGCGCTGAGCAGCACGATAAAATAATCCTCACGATCTCCGTGGCGTGGGAAGGCATTCATCCAGCAGTGGATTGATGCGTACAAGAGGAGAATGGTGCCTTCATCCTGCTCGTGTGTCATGGTCAGGACTTACCGGGGGGGCTACTGGTTCAGGCAGCTCTGGTAGGAGTTTCTGTGTGGCGTGTCCCAGTGAGCCGTTGTGTATCCCCTTGAACCGCGGCTTCATCGTAAAAGTCCAGTCGTCCGTTTCAGAGTTAGGTCCTTCGTTCTCGTCGCTGTAACAAAAATATGTCAAGCCAAGTACAACAAGCATAAATGTTTAATTGTAGAAAGTCGCCAGTGATGAAAGTTATTTCAAGTATTTTATAGAACTTATGGATATACAATTTTGAAATGGCTGGTTTAGTACTTTTTAAGACACAAAGTGCACCAAGTTATAAATAGTGGGAGACATTAATGAGAATGCACGTTTTAAAATACACCATCCAAAAATAATCCATTCACCCAGAGGACATTATATACATATAATAAAGGAGCAGTAAAAGACAGTCCGTCAAGACATTTCAATTTGACTGACTGCAGAGTAGAACAAGATGCACCCAGCTTTCTGTCGCACCCCATCTACGACCAGGCCTATCCAAACCCCTACTACTTAACACTCCAAGCCTTTTCTACCGTCGCTAAGACTACACCACCACTTAAATTTCGATTTAAAGCTTTCGTGACTGTAAAAAAGGTGGTCGTAGCTGGGGTGCGACAGAAAGCTGGGTGCATCTTGTTCTACTTTGCAGTCAGTCACACCACCACTTTTAACAACCCCACTCTTCATCTCAAACGTTTACCACGTTATGTACAATTTTCATAATTGCTGTCAATCCGGACAAGATAATAAAAAACGAACTCACTCATCAGAATCTCCGGAGCTGGAGCCTTCGTCATGGCCTTCGGCTTTCCAACGCTTGTACCTGTCAATGAGCTCCGTCAGGTAGGACGTCTTTTTGGCACTACGCTGGATGAACTTGTGTTTAAGCAGTTCCTTGGCCGTTGGTCTCTGTAACAATGTTTGGTGTCAAGGGTTAATCAAGCTGCGATTCATTCCGAAGGCAAACTTCTCACTTCACACTTTTCATTCTATTTAAAGTTAAACAAAATTTTTTACAATTGTACATTACTCATAAACATCCAACAGCCATATAGCGCAGGGGTTTACAGCGAAAAACTGCGCCGAATTATGTCCCTCGTCAAAAAGTGGACTTTATCCGTGTGTGGCACGCCACTGGTTACAACTCACAAACTGAGGGTCCTTGTTTAGACATGAGTCAACAAACTCCTTGAAGGCCTTGCTGTAGTTTCCCTCCAACGTGGGAGGGTTGTTCTTGGGAATGAGGAACAGCACCCGCATGGGATGAAGCTCTGAGTTGGGTGGCTCCCCCTTGGCCAACTCAATGGCTGTGATTCCCAGAGACCAGATGTCTGCCTGTTGAGGAATCAGGGGACGTAGCAAAGGAAATTAGTTTCATATTCATGTCATAGCATGCACAAATGTGTTGGCATGATTGGTCGCAAGTTGTACAAAAATGTTTAAAAACATTTAGAATTTCACTTTGTATAATATGTATCATACATCACAATTACACTACATATACTTCAATGTCCTCTTTAAAATTCGCCAATGGTACCGCAATGGCAATCAGCTGCAATGTAATTTGTGCCCTGCCCAAGAGACATTATTCAACGCTAAAGGAATATTAAGTCATTTTCTCGAGAAAACTTGTTTTTTGTACTCATGTTTAAATCCGATTTCCATAGGAAAAAAATAACTTCCTCTATGCAGAGCTCCCAGAAACACCTTTTTGATAATTAAATTGTGTGAGTACACAGAGGAGAAGGGCGGAAGCCTCCACACAACGTGACACCCCCACCCCGCCTCCAAAATGTAACTATTAATTTAACCGTACGCTTATTAAACATTTCTGGGTGCCTGGCACACAGCCGGGGGATCATTTGTATAGTAGCCAGAGCATGTTGGTGACCGCCGTATGAACAGCAGACAAGCTGGGTCAGATTAATAGAAGAAAAACAATGCTGACGAAGACATTGTTACTTGGGGGGTCCGTTATCTCCGTAGCCCTCGAATAGATAAACGTTACAACAACAAAAAAGCACTTGTTCAATGCAGCTTTAACGAGGTCTACCGAAATGCTTAAACCAAATGAGGTCACGCACAAACACGTCAGATAAAACTGAACGTCGAGGCAAAAGATCACGTCAAAGGACGCAGCGTGTGACAATGACTTTGTCATACGCTGTATTCAGACTATGCAGCATGCACTTACTTTGAAATCGTAGGCTGACTGTTTGATGACTTCGGGAGCCATCCAGAAGGGGGTGCCTACGAAAGTGTTGCGCTTGATCTGCGTGTCGGTGAGCTGGCCAGCCACACCAAAGTCCGCTAGCTTCACGTCGCCTTGTTCGGACAGAAGGACGTTGGCAGCTGGGCCGGTGGGAGAGGTGGCAGAGAGAACGATACATCATGTAGCGAGTGCCGATGCTGCTTTCACAGCCCCATTGAACTTTAAAGAGCGTTTAAGGCTCTTACATTAACATTCACTCTGGCTCCGGGGAGTGCAAAGTGATACGGAAACGGCACCTTCTATGGCCATGCCAGGAGGGGTCATACACATTGTATACACATGCATAACTTCTTTCGCACCGTACATAGGCAACCACTCTTATCGGATGTACTGAGTGAAACATTACATTCACATTACCTTTGATGTCTCTGTGAATTTTCCTCTCTGAATGGAGGTAATCCAACCCTTTCAGGATTTCCCGCAAAATAGTCGCAATTTGATGCTCCTCCAGTGGACCGGGCTTTATCTAAAGCAAGGAGAGTCAGAGGAAACGGCTTTCAGCTTCGCTATCCGGGCACAAGCTAAGCGACGTAACGGCCTGCGCCTCGAATTTATCACAATTTTACTCTATTGCCATGTTTATACAAACTTTATAACCGCAGTGCATAGCTGTTTCATGCTTAGGTCATAACCATGTAATTTTTACCCTCTTCTCAATGTTACTCAAAGTTTTCCCATTGCCATTAATTATTAATTCAAATCCCACTGCTCTTTTTTGTTTCAGAGGCACAACCAAATACGTCCTGTTGATTCAGCCTCCAGGCAAGTGCAAGTCCTCAGGGCTCAAGTATTGCCAACATTTAAACAACCTGTGTACTTTCACGATACAACTGGCATTAAATCCTTTTTCCCGCACACGTTAACAATAACGAAACACACGTAAGGAATTTTAAACTTAAGGGAAAACACGTTTTGAATTAGCTCTTTCCCTTAACCAAAGAAAATCCATGACACGTCTCAACAGGATCATTATGATAGCCTTCTGGATATCTTGTTCCTGGCTTTTCAAAGGATTAAACAAAATCAATGTGGAAATTTACAACGGATCCCTTTAATCCATACCGTCCAAAAAGAACATTGGCCTCTTTAAGACAATTTTGTATTTAACGAAACCGCTTAAGACTTGCCAGGTCGAGGGCAGACCCTCCTCCCAGGTACTCCATGATGATCCATAGCTTTGTGCCCTGGAACACAGAAAAGGTGGCATTTTAGAAACAAAACAAGTCAGCTTGCAGGCCGCTTTAACCAACTCACACTGTCAATCTGCCAGCATACTCCGCAGATGAGACGTGAACAGGTGCGACCATGCAGTGTGTCCGGTTCTTAACTTTGGAACGTGTCCTTGTGTACCATGGTGCTCCGCGTATACATTGAGTCTCTCTACACGTTTACGAACTATTTCCTCGCTGCCAGTTGCATGCTTTGCCTGGTCATTTTGAATATAAATGCTTTTCAAGTACATCTCTTCTTGTCGAGTTATTTGTCCGAGGGCAAGTTCTTAGTTCAAGTTCCTCCGATTTCTCTAATCTAGACATTTTTTATTTCTGCCCTCTCTTGAAGTCCTTGAGCAGCACCTTTCACCCTCAACATCCTTCCTTCTCAAGCTTACTTCATAAGCCCTCCCCCACTTCTGTCTACCTGCCCCATTCTGAAACTGCCTTTTTCCGAATTGCTGCATTAAAACGTCTCGCCACTTGCACTTCCTTGTTACCCTTTCTTTCCATCCAACCAAAAAACAAGACGCCGCCACAATCGATGATGCACCTCGACAACCCTCTCTACCCTCTGCTGGGTCCGCAGCTGCGCTGCACAGTTGACACGTGACCTCAAAGACTTGCCCTATCAGTATCTCGCCATCTGCTCTTAGGTCTCGTCTTCCCCCTTGGTCACCGGAGCCGTGGAAACCACTTCATTGCCTGCCCCGGCAATCAGCCCTCGAATCCCACACACAGGATATTGTCCCTCCCCGCACCTTCGATTAGCACGGTTGGCTACGTACTGTGCGAAAGAAGTTCAACATACATACAGGTCTCACCCAGTGCAGCCATTTTTGCCGAATCATATCTATAACACGAACCTGCCACATGCTATTGTGGACTTCAGCTTATATAAATATGTGTAAACAAATATATATTGTATTGATTGCAGTAGACAGCCATGCAGTGATCCTCCAGGCCTCAATTGAAATTGGTTTAGATAAAGTATATCTATATCTAAAAATACTTTGGCAACCAAGCAGTGAAGCTTATAAACTTTATAAGTTTGAACTTACTAAGTATATAATTCACCTTTCCAATACTTTGCACTCCGATATTTTTTTATTATTATTTGTTGTAACTTTCTGACCTGCCACCTACTGGACATCTGTGAAAAAGAGCTTCAGACCTCATCGGATTTCTCCAGGAGAAATAAATATTCGGATTCTGAGAAGACTTTAGATTGACTTAAGGTCACATGCTGGCCAGCCAATCAGAAGTCACCCCCCACCCCTCCGTGTTGAGGGAGGGGCCACATGGGTGGCTGCTGAGCAGGTTACTGCTTTGGGGTGTCAGGGTGGTGGGGTGTCAGGGTGGTGAGATGTTAACTACCTTGCCTGGTATACATGAAGTTGCGAGTTCTGAATACATGGAGTTTGCATGTTCTTCCCATGGTTGCGTGGATTTTTCTCCGGGTCCTCCGGTTCTTCCCTCTACATTTAGAAACGAGCGTTTCGAGTATTTGGCTGCAATCAATTTCCACGTGATAAGCCACTTCGTTGAGCTATCATTTGTGGCCAGGTCGTTTCTGAAAAAGATCTAGATAGCTCAGTAGGTCTTACCTGGTAAAATAAAAATAGCTTGGGTTGGGTGAATGGGTAAGGGCCGCTGAAGGGCGCGTGGCTCTCGTTCTATGACGGGTACTTCCACTGGCGTATGTATAATAAATTAACAAAACAACCACACTATTTTCCTAGTGACAAAGCATGACCTTTGTCACGGAACAACCATAAATATTTGACTTTGATGTCCCAACAAGGAAACGTTCAGCCTGACAATTAAACGGCAAACTATATAATTTAATTGCAAAGGAATGCTACTTTTTTAGTTTTAACCTGCCAATAAAGTGTTGCATGGTAAGTACAGTAGTACTTTACTTACAATGCAGATGCGTTACGACGACCCCATCGTAAGTCAAACATATCGTAAGTCGAAGATGGCCTAGCCTACCCAGGAGTCTTAAAGAATGGTGATAATTTAGCAAAACAGAGCAATTTACAGTACCGCACTGTATAAACTATATGCTGTATTTATTAATTACAATACTGTATTGCACAGTAAAATGTAAAGTTAAAAAACAAGGTAAATTCTTAGCCTACTTATATGAACTGCAATTTAATAGAAAGTTTTTTCAGGAAAAAATCCTATCTGCTATAAAAACTTTTAACATGCATTGAACTTATCGTATCGTGGTAACCCTAAAATGAAATCGCTAAAGCTACGTATCATACATGCATTGAACGTATCGTAACGCGCTAACACCGAGACAACTTAACTCCGTCGACCGCTGGTGAGAGTGAGGCACCACACAAGGCGGGAGATGCGTACAGTACATCCCGGCAGCGTCCCAACGTACAGTATCGTACCTCGTACGCTGCTGCGTTTGCCTGCCGCGCGAAATTAAAAATATTTTACAATCGAAATATCGTAAGTCGGACCATCGTAACTCAGGGACTATCTGTATGTCTGCAGTGCCAACAGTGCTGAATTGATTGCAGATATTCACGGAATGTGAAGTGGTCTGGTGGTTCAGATATTGGAGGGGCGAGCTGGCACCGCTGAAATCCTGGGTTCAAATCCAGGCTTTGCCTGGGGATGGGGTTGGTTCAGTTTTTATTTGCATGTGTTTGGGTGATTTCTTTACCTCTTGCACGAGTATCATGTTTTTGTACTGTTTGTGCCCTTACCCGCCCTGACTGCACATCTGTGAAAAAGAGCTTTATAGGCACCGGATTCCTCCAGTAAGAATAAATATTCTGGTTCTGATTAAACCGTTCCTCAAGTGCAGTGAGTTGGCATCCTCAGCTCGATCACCGATGACGGCGCCAACAAAGCCCCAAGCACATTTTATTTGCTGCTGCATTTAATTAAGTTCGAGGCTAAATTGGGTTGACTTGTCATGCAATGAGCGTTACTTTTTGTGTGGCAGGGTGAGTAGGAACGCTGCCCTCTACCGTGTGGACACAGAGGTCACTTGAAGGAATCTTAGAGGTAGCTCTCGGATATCTGCCCATATGACGTCTCACCTTTATACACCCTAGACCTGTGGTCCCGGCCAGACAGCAGCTCACAGTTGGAAGGCTGCAAGTTCAAATCCTGACTGGCGTTGGACTCGGTGCGTCATCTCTCCGTGATCAATACATTTGAGTACCAACTTCATGGAGAAGTCAACAGCGGCTGTCCAAAAGATAAACTTACCCCCGTCATAGCTATGTGCACTTTCGAAAGAGATTAGCACTGTCTCAATGACCAATTAAGTCGATGCTAAACGTGTGCTCTTTGTGTATCCCCTACCAGAACTATCAACTGCCCATGTACCCCTACCAGTTTATGGGTTTTATATCTATATAATTTTATTAAATAAGAATACTACAAAAAAAAACTCCACAAACAAAATTAATCATCCCTATTGCCACCACCTTCTTGGCACCTCACAGTTGAGCCTTTCCGTAACATTTGACTAATTACTGGGGTAAAAAAAGAAATAAAAATAATGTAGAAATTTATATTTATTTACATATTTTATTTTTTATTTTATTTTTTATTAATTTTTATTTTATTTTTTACCTACGTGACTTTACTGAAAGAACTAAGGAGTATGAATCCTTGCAGTCACGAAAGCTTCAAATCTTGAATTAATTACTGGGGGTGCTGGCGAGTAAGAGGGAGTATTAAATGGGACAAAGGATAAAGTAAGATTCACAAGAACAAAAGTGTTGTTTCAGAAGTATATTACAGTATTCCCTCATTATTCACGAACTTGCTATCCGTGAATCGCAGCTGAAACTCTACACGACTGCATCGAGAGACAAAGTGATGAAGTGATAAGATAAAGTAAAGCGATGAGAGAGAAAGTGATGAGATAAAGAGATGAGGGGGTAAAGATAACTTCTGTAAGCTTTAGAAGCATCTGCAGTCGTTGCGCGTTCGATATTCGTAGGCTGATATCATGATTCGTGAAAGTTGAGGTAAGATCTAATGGTAATCAATACATTAACGGGACACGATCAGATCCATAATCAAGAGGACCTCAATATATGTATGTTGAACTGCTTTCGCACCATACGTAACCAACTGTGCGACGAAAAAAAAGCTAAGAAATAGACTTGAATGTTCAAACAAATATTGTGATAGGAACTATATCAGTCAGAAAACTAATAAATTAATTCCAATGTAAGAACCTACTCCGAAAGTCTTGACATTTAGCAAAGCTTCCTTGGATGAATATAGCATTCGTAAACCAGTGGAAAGACCCATCATAGAATGGATGGGCCCTCCCTCCACACCCTGCATCCCCACCTCCCCACCCCATGGGTGCCCTCCCTCGTGCATGACAACCCCTAGGGCTCTCAACACCCGCAGCCCCCCCCCTTTCAACTGCCCCCCACCTCCTCGAGGTCCGCCGCACCCAGCCCCACGTCACCACCAACAAGATGGGCTATGAAGCACAGTAGCATGCCCTGCGCAGGCAAGAACGTGATGATTGGCTGGCCTGCAGCCAATCAAAAGCGTTCTACTGGTCGGTCGTCGAAATGTTTAACATGTATAGGATTTCGCTTTAAGCAATCAGCACATTATTAACTATTATATTGGGAAAAACAACCCAAACTTAAACATTGGTTGAGGCAGCTGATGAGATAAATTCTAGTCACAAATACCAAACATTTGCGATGCTACATTTAAGTTGACATACAAGGCAAGAAATAGTCTTTACTTCTTTCTTTCAGAACAGGGGGATTGTGTAAACATATAGCAATGTTGACTTTCGATTATATTACATATTAGCCTGTATTTGCTGTGTCTAAATCTCTACTTATCAGTGATATACTGCTGTTCTTATCAATTCCTAGTTCGATCGATTTATTAAGTGCGTACTTTGGTGGCATGCAAAAGTACTTTGGAATTTACAACACAAACATGCCCGATGCCTGCCAGTTGTAGAAAACAAAGTTGCTAAAATACATGTTACATGGCCACCTCTGCCCTTAGCCTAACCCTGCCTCCCTCTCACTTCGGTGAACACTGACTGAGGGATCCATATCATACTTCATGACATATGAGGAAAAAGTTGTATTGAAGTGCCGCTTGCTCGTATTTTTCAATAATCGTAAAATATCACCGCACAATCCTACTACTAGGCAACTAGGGCGAGGCTTGGATTGTTACACTCACGCAACTTGCATCAAACAGCGTAGTGCGAGAAGGGATTATTCCGCATTTAATATAAATTACGCACACTCACGTGTACGCCAATATATATTCACACGGAAACAAAGGACACAAAAATAATGAGAATGGAGGATCACTGCATGGCTGTCTATTGCAATATACACGGTGGGGGGAGCGAGGTGACATGGCCCAGCAGTCAAGCATTCGCCATGAGTTGTAGAAGGCCGTGGTTGGAGCCCGGTGGCCACGCTGCTTAATACCGCGGTGTTGCATTCACCGCGAAACACTACGCGCCGTCTTGCTTCGCACAGCGGACGTGAAACATCCCTGAAAGTCATTCGAAACGAGTAGGAGGCCATTGCGCGCCGGAGTCACGGCGCAAATGTATTTAATGAATAATAATGGGAAAATGTCTCCATGCCCCCCTATTGACAAGTAAATGCCGGTTTGTGGGTCAAGTGTTGAGTTATCTTGCGCCCACAGGGATAGCGACCAGTGGGGGTAACCCGTTCAAATTGAAGATGTTTAAGTTGCGATTTTAATTGCATTTCGCATTCAAAGTGCTATGAGATGCCAAAGGCGCAACAGGTGTTAAATCAAACGCTGATTATGTAATTATTATACGTGATTGAAAACAAGACAACACAAATGTACCTTAAGATACGAGCCGAAGTAGTGGGTGACGTAGGGCGAATCGCACTGGCTGAGCACCGTGATCTCTTGCTGGATGTCCTCAATTTCATCCTCCGCCTCCTCCAAGTCAATGATCTTGATGGCCACTACCTCCTTGGTTCGGTTGTCGATGCCCTTGAAGACCTCACCAAATGACCCCTTGCCAATGCGCTCTTGCTTGGTGAACAACTCCTCGGGATCGGCGCATGAATTCTGTGGGGGGGGGGGGGGGGGTAGGGCGTGGGGGGCAACGTGTGGGGTGGGGGTGTTACCATGGGCTTTTGCAAGCAAGGGTGACCCCTCCCGTCAGGTTAACTTGACTTTCCGACTGCATTGCCGCAACGACACAAAGCTCTCTGCAGATCGTTGCCGACAAGTGTTCCGCATGACAAAGCCCGCGCCACAGTACGCTGGGTTTTAGCAATAACCGATGCACTCGTCAAAGGGGTACGGGGAAAATAGAACATTAACAAGAAGGCATTTAAATCAAACACTTGCAGCAGCGTAAAATCCGCAAATGGCATGCGAGCATAATCGAGAACAAAGATATGAAATGCAAACAACAACAACTCTTATTGTCACGTAAATTGGAAAACGTACAAATATGCTTTTTTATCCCATTGTGTGCGACGAGCGTAAAACCTTGCACAGTGCAAATGGATAAGTTGTAGCTCCCAGCTATTCATTTTTGTGAACCTATTGAAATCGGCACGCTTGGGTCTCATGTAAAAAGTAAATTACACGTGAAGGACATGCAAGCGGGTCGCACACGTTGGTGCCTTTCACGTTGGTGGTTTTGACGAGAAAACAGAAGTATCGAAGGCGACCTGTTGGCTCAGCTTCTATGAGACTTTTATGGCATAGTTGGCTTTATTGCCAGGCTTTGCAGGAATGAACCAACACCATCCAGTCTGACTCTATCCCCAAGCAGTACTGGCCTATTAATGATCAGCCAATTCAAACATGTGACTTTATAACCCATCAGGTTGAGAAGCTGTTTTGATACAGTTCAAAGTAAAACGGTCAAGTAACATTGTACAAACATCTCTTCCTTGCAGGTCCCTCCTCCCACAGGACTTATCTATTTAGAAGAAATGGCATTAACCTTCACCTGAAAACCGAACATGGAACTACACATCAATAAATGTTCATGAACCTCTCCCGTGGTTTTTATGAAGGTTTTTTGGGTGCAGAGCTCTTTGGCTTGATGTACGAGGCTACTGTCACATACAGGCCACAGATTGCAATGTAACAGGGAAACTGCCGGAAACTTTGCCGATGAAATATATTTTTTCCTTTGAAGGCAGTGGTGATTGATGAATGTGTTGAGTTTTTTGTTAACGCGTAGGCTTTCGTCCAATATCCATAATAGAGGTTTTTTGGGTTCGATCGTGTAAATATAAATGTGGAGTTAAACTCGCCACCACCCGACACAGCTAATAACTAAGATAATCACCCAGGAATGTCTGTCCGAAACGCTCGTGACGTCACTCCATATCGATCAGCCCCCCTCATTAATATTCATGAGCAGGTGACATCCTCCAAATGGGACACCCACCCTCATTAATAATTATGAGTGGGTGACGTCACTCAATATGGAGTACTCTCCCCCCCCCACTAATAATAATGTGTAAGTGACGTCACTCCACATCGACCAGCCCCTCTCATGAATAATCATGAACAGGTTACATCCTCTCATTTGCCAGTACGCCTTTTGGCGTCATCTGGTCCAACCCATGTGAGACTAGGCTCTAAGGAAAGCGGTCTTGGGTGTGGTTCCAATCAACTTCAAGGACAGTGTATACATTATCAGAGTTATGTTTTTTGTTTGCATTATGGCTGCAGGTATTGTGGTCTATGCAAACATGACTCCTTGTAAAAAAGGTGTCAGTTTTGTTGCCAGATAGAAGGGTAAAAAAACTATTATCAGGTTACATCCTCCACATGGTCCCCCCCCTCATTAATAATCATGAGCAAGTGACGTCACTTCACATCAAACAGCCCCCCTCATTAATAATCATTATAAGATGACGTCCTCCAAATGGACACCCCCCCCCCCTTCATAATAATTAGCGGCTGACGTCACTCCACATGGGGGGGTGAGGAGCCTCCTCCTCCCTCCTCGGCGTCAACTTACAACCCTCACGACAAAGGCAGAACCCTCACGTCACGCAATCTCCGTCACGCTATTGAGACATGGAAGTAAAAAGGACGTCACGATGAACAAGGGATTATAACCTTTAAATGAAATAGGTCTGTCACCACGGCCTTACAAATTGCACAAGCACTAATGCAATGAATATCACGTCGCGGTCTGCTTTTGGCTTGCAAGTTTCAGAATTACTGTAATACACCCGTCCTTGGACGGGCAAAATGCTAGTTAGTAAGATTAGTCAAGTACACAGAACGTGGCTAATTCGTTACTCGTACAGCACACTGGTGTGTTGGAGCAAATCCACAACATTTGCAATCTGCGTACGACGTTTCACCAGTAATGACCACTAGCATCATCAAGCGGACACAAATCTGGCTGTCTGCCTGATGAAGCAAGATGTAATTACTGGCAAAACGTCGTACTCCGATTATAAAAGTTGGGGATTTGCTCCAACACACCGATGTGCTGTACTCGTGACGAATTCTCATGTTCTGTTACGTGACAAACCTTACTAATTGGCTGTGTCGGGTGTGGTGGTGAGTCTAACAACACATTTGTATTTACACGATCTAACGCAAATAAAAAAACCTGTATTTGTTGTTTGTGCTTGTGCATCACTGTCTACGTGGCAGAATGCCCAAATAGTTCAATCACAATTGTCTTAGCTTTGACACGTGAGAGCCAAATGTTATACTAAACAACATGCTGTAATAAACCCAAAAACAGCACAACAACATCAAACCGATAGCATGAGAACAATGTTCTGTTTTGCTCTTTTAAAAGCCGAGTACACCACAATTAACTTCCAAGTACCAATTACGACACTATATATTTTACCATCGTCTATGACTCAGTCAAGCACTTAAATGCAGCCGCACATGAAAAAATGTTAACATTGGAGGCGGGAAATGTTAATATGTCTTCCCACATTTTAGAAGTACAAACAGGCAAAACATTGTGTTCCAATGCTAAAAACCACCTTTTAAATCACCCTTCCACACTGCCATAGCCATATCCTCCAAATGCCTTGGACGTCAGAACAGGTCTGACTGCTTGCTGAACGTTCGAACGAAAACTGCCCGAAGGGTGTTGCGAGCACGGTGAGAAAAATTATAAATGAAAAAAAAATCTGCCGACTTGCTTGTGGGCTGATCTAAAATGCATGGGGTCATTGCATATTTATTCCATTGTGAGTTTCACAGACTGTACATACACACACACGTCATCACAAACAGTTTGCCTTAATCATCGTCTGGCAGCACTGGTTGTTTTGTGACCTTCATGTATATGTCAAGAATTAAATAACATAGGGGGGAAACGTACCTAAGTCAACAACCTGGACATTGTAAACAATACACTTGTGTTGGCCAAGGATAACTAAATCTTGCTCCCACACAATGGACAACAATGTATGAACTTGCAAATATAATTTAAAAGATAATTTTGGTGTCATTTTGTCTAATGCCCCCACATGTGCTCAAGTGTTCAACACTCCAAAGAGCCGCCCCCCCTTGCAACCATTGTGGCCATCAGTTCACAGCTGGTTGTTGCTATTTGACTGTGGTGGTGGTGTCAGTTTGCCAAGAGGGGGGAAAAACCACACACACACAAACACACTGTTGTTATGGGAAATTGCAGTGCGGTTAGCACTTCAGCAAACAAATTTGCGTCTAAAAATAATACGAATAAAATACCACACCAGCATCTGTCCTCCCATTGATAGTACACAAAAGAAAGTTACAAATATGGGATTGTAACAGAAGCAGGTATGATGGCAAGAATATTACAAAGAAAATAAACACACACACACATGGGGAGTGGAAGCATTTTCTCCATAAACACAAACACACAGCTGTTTGAACCCTAGGGGGATTGTTTAGGGTCTAGTCCATCGGAAGCAAGAGGATTAAACTTCCCAGAGCCTGCACTTGCTGCAAGCATGACGTGGGCTGCCATGGTAGCCGCCGCCCACGGGGTGAATAACCATCGTCTTCACGGAGGTATGATGTAATCGGCTAGTGTGTGTGTGAGAGAGAGGGCCAGGCAAGTAAAGGAGGGTTGTTGGGGGCGGGGAAGCGAGGAACAAAAAAACTTGGGGAGGTGGTAGTGGAGGGAGAGGCTAAAAGGAGGGGGGGGGGAGAGAGAACGACAGGAAGGGAATTCAGGAAAACACTCACTTACGTATTCACGAATGTACACACAGGACCTGCCGCATTCCAAGCTTCAACTCGAACAAGGTGGGGTTTTGCGTTGGAGGTTCCCAAGTTCTTTACAATGTTGGATCCATCTCTAGCGAGTGTAACTACCACCTTCCTATTATCAGCGCCATGTCACGTGCACTCATAGTACTCTACATCGGAGGTCGGCAAACCAAACTAAACAAGGGCACTATGAGATCTCTTTTACCAGTGGCAAAATATAGTAGTAGGTTTTTAACCTTTTAAACTGGTACAAAACTGACACCAATGGGGACTAAACTCTAAAGAAAGCCGTCTCGGGTGTGGACCAATCAACTTCAAGGACAGTGCATATTATTATCATTATCAGAGTTGCTTCTTTTTGTTAGCTTTTTTGACTACTTGTGTTGTGGTTATTGCAAACATAATTCCTTGAATAAAGGTGTCAGTTTTGTACCAGTTTAAAAGGGTAAAAACCTACTACTAAAACAAGGGCAGGCATTTTTTTAGAACTTGGTGAAACAGAATATTTCAAGGGCCGCCAATGCACTGCGTGGGTGGGTCCCTTCAAGAGTCGCATGTGGACTCAGGAGTCGCAGGTTTGCCGACCCCCCCCTGCCCTATATGCAGCTGCTCATCTCAAGACGTTGTACAGAAACAGTTGGCGTATATTTTAGAGCGAGACACAGACCATGTATAGGCAGAGGGGGCGCGGTGGGGCGGGAGGTCTCTCAAGTCTGGACTTATAACAACGAGCAGAGAGTTAACATCACGGAAGCTTGAGGTGAGTGGAGTTCCAGACCCTCGGTGGCAGCTAGAAAAAAAGGAGCGATCTTCCTCTGAGTGAAGGCTACCGGCCACACTAACCTTATTCAGGACTT